GAATTGAGTGAGAAATAGCTATTTTTTTGTTTTGTTTACTTTTGTGACAAAAAATAATGAATCATCAAGTGTGACAATACTTATGAAAAAGGCAGTAATAGTTTTATGTGTTTGAATGTATTATTATTATTTTGTACATTCATATATTTATGTAATATATGTGTATTTAGTAAATAATTGTTATTTATTGTGACCATTTGTTTGTGATAGTATAAATCATTTTTATATTTGAGTTATTATGCCTTAGTAGCATTTATACTCTTGTTTTCATTTTATTTGTTTGACTAATCATTATTAGATTGATTGTATGTTCACAATAGTATTTCTTTATATTATTATTATGCTTTTCTAGCATTATTCTTTTGTTTATAGTATTAATCATTTGTATTATTAATATAATATCAAATGTTTGTTTGTAAAGTAAGATGTTATTATTATAATGTATCTCTGTAGTGTAAGATAAAGTAGTTCAGCATTTGAATATAGTATTGCTGGGTACTTATTACATTTAAAGTAACTAGTCTGTCCAAGGTTATTTTAATAAATCAATGTGTATTTAGGATGCTCAGACAGGTGTGTCTAGGTCCTTGTAGATAATATGTTCCAGTTACAAGTATTATAGTATGTCTTGTTGTATAGAGCAATTGTAGTCTTCAGGACAAGACAATTCACATTTGGTATGCTCAGATGAGAGTGCTAAAGGTTTGTAGACAAGTAGAATAGATTGTACATGTAGAATTAAGTGGATTCAGTGTTAAATAGAGTAGTTCAATGATACTTATTGAGTATAATATGATTGAGCATATCAAATCATTTGTACTATAGTGTATAGTACACTGAAGCATTTGAGATGATGATTGTAGTGCATATAGTCATGCATATAACTACTGAGGGGGAAATCATAATTGCTAAGACAATGATTTCAAAGTATTGCATTTGTAGAGAGTAAGATAAAAGCATAGTAACAATGTAGATATGAGTAGAGAGTACAGGACTCATAACCTGTTAGCATTTTAAGGTCACAATGTTTCCCTAAGAGTTAGTCACACAAGTAGGGGTTCAGTAGACTCTGCTCATAGTATGTAGGTGTCAATACAAGTTGACTGTATAATTTGTAATGAGCTTCATCATCCTTAGATTAAAATAATATATATACTATCTAATATTGTATGTCTTGGATGTATGTCTCAGAAGACATGTCTCTACAATAGTGTATATTTGCAAGACATTTTGTGTGCTTTAAGACATATGATGCATTTATCCGAAATAAATGTTAACAGTTAACAATATATATAATACTTATTTTATCTTACTGTTTATTGTTACACTTTGGGAAAAAAAACTAGTTACATAATAACTTGAATATATTTTATATGCATTTATACAAATATAATACTTATACTATTTTCCTAATGAATTAAGAGCACATATACACTGGTTGGTAGTAATCCTTGTGAATTGTTGACATCTCTCCTTGCCCTCACTTCTTAACAGTTGATTAACACAATGATTGAATGATGACTGAGGCCTCTATTAATTTTAGGGTTGAAGGTCTGAGTATTTATTCTTTCATGAAATGGGAGAAAAACAAAGCCTGTTACCTAGTGTGCAAAGTGTGTGGCGTAGCAGTACTAACCTTCTGTGGATTGGTTGCAAAGTTGCTGGATACAATCTGTGTCATACCCTCACAGAAGAATGTCAGATTGTGTGAAGCTCTGCCCAGCAGGTAGAATTACATTTGCAATTTCCACATTGAGGATAACACCATTTGATGTGAAAGCATACACTGTAGTGCTGGCAATGCACTCATAACAGAGACTCCATCTTGCATAAGAGGCTTGCTTTGCATCAGCAATCTTCTTTCTGCACAGCTATGAAGACAGGCTGCCTGAGGAATAATTTGCAGGTTGAGCGAATCCTCTGCTGCATTTTACATCGTAGATGTTCTTCCGGAATAAAACTCCAAAGAAGCCGACACGCAGGCATACTACTGGTGATGAAGGTCGGCAGAGACATCGCGCGAGCACATCTGTTCAAGAGCAACATGCGGACAAGACTTCGCATGGTAAAAACCCGTCGAATGGTAACAAGTCGTCAAAAAGTGCGAAGCCGAAACAACAGCTTTGTATAGTTAAGAAACCTGGAGGTGGTTTTGAGGTTCGCAAAATGGGAAATGACGGGAAAACGAAGGACTCGCCAGAGCCTCCACAGGCCGGTCCGAAGCAGAAAGCTGAAGAGAAGAAAAACAAGAAAGGCAGCCGTAATACTAAGGGGTACGTGATCGTTTGCAACAAAGTAGCTCCTGTTGCTCAGTACCTACAATCAGTCGAACACATGTCAGTTCACCATCGTCTCCAGAAACCAAACGTGCCTCGAGTCCCGCAACTTCCACACGAGGGTCTGGACATTCCAGGTGTGTCATCCTATAACAGACTTTCTTATTAATTAATTTCTGCAAATAGTCACCGTGCATCAGTGAACTCGCGTTCTTCGAGTCATAGTCACATACAGGGACAAACATCCTGGTATCGATCTCAAACAGTCGACCCGACAGCTAGAGTAAACTTCAACACAAATGATGCACACTATAGCACATCACCGCCACAGTACGATACTTCGGGATTCAATGGTGCAACTGGGCGGGATTTTGGACCATACAGCTCTGTACCACGTAGCAGCACTTATCCGCGAGACGGAGTCACTAATGACTATATCTACTCACAAGGAAGGTATGGGGTCACAGTCATATCAATTTTCTAACAGACTGACCCTTGTGATCAGTGAACAGTACTCAACTAATAGCTATAGAAAGCCTGAAAATACTACAGATACTGGGTACAATGATGCAGGGGAAATACCTGTGCAGATTCCTAACTTAGACGAACTTGATACCAATAATGAACACATTCAGTGGTTTTCTCGAGACGATAACACATCTTCCTATAGCAATAAATATGATACATCAATCCCTACAGTACAGTCTACAGCTGGGGCAGAGCTTTTCAATTATTATAATTACCATTATGGGCAATCTTATCCAAATGCCAATATAAACCACACTTATAGTAATAACGAGGTAACACAAGAAGATGATACTCCAGAATACATATATATGTGGGGAGGACTGCTTGGTAGAGGAGCATTTGGCAGTGTAAAAGTATGTAACTTTTCAATAGAACAAACTATTACTTGCAGTAAACAACAGTACTGATATGCCTCTTTCTAACTTAGAAACTTATATGTAAGAATGTAAAGACAGGTGAAGAGCATTTTATTGCAGTTAAAATATTTAATGGGAAAAAGAAAAACAAAAGATTTGAAGATAAAGAGGTCAAGACTTTAGGCCTATTAAAAAACCTTGATCATGAGAATATAGTGAGCAATGTCAAGTTTGTCTAGTAAAGCATTTAGATATGTATTAACCAGTGTAAAATCGTTTCAGATCAAGTATTATGGAGAATATGATATTGATGGCATTCCTTGCTTCAGTTTTGAGCTTATGAAGGATGGTGATCTTTATCACACAACACGACGAAAACATAAACAAGGGAAATACTGGAGCTGTCGTGAGATTTCTTATATAACACAGTAAAGATAATATTCAAATTTCATCTTTTATTCATACTAACATTGATTTCAAAGACAGATATTAGAAGGGTTAAAGTATCTTTCAAGTTTGAAGCAACCTATAATTCATTGTGATATTAAGTGAGATTGAAACTTAATATATTTTCAGAAGGCTTATTTGTTGCTTGATAGGCCCGAAAATGTTCTACTTGATGGACAAGCAGTAAAAATTACTGACTTCGGACTGTAAGCACTTTATATTTACAAACAGCTGTGATTTATACTTATATATTACATTATAAAGCTCAACAGTATTAAAACGAGGACAGAAAGTAAAAGATTGTCAAGTCTTTGGTACAGCTAATTATTTAGCTTGTGAAAGGCTTCTTGGTCAAGTGGCTTATAATTCCGACATATGGTCTCTTTGGTAACTATACCTACCACTTATATTTAGCAAAGTTTTTTTTACAAGGTTTTATAGGATCCTTATATACTTTCTAGCAGAAGGAGAAGAACCTGCCGATTGGATAGATTATGAGAAGTTATATAAAAAACAATTATCTCAACAGTATCATGCTCTTGGATATGATGTGCATAGTCACGGTAATTATTGTTCAATCTGATTTTAGTGTTTGCATTAATAATACTCATTCTGTAGAGTTTATTAACCTGGCACATTATAACGCAATTACTAATTTTATGGCCACACTGCAAGATGTAGGCAATTTACACCAATGTGCAAGTATTTGGAACGACAGAAGTCTGTATTTTATTTATAATTTCTGCATACTTTATTTAACCTTTTATTTTTTTATTAAAAAAAAACAGGTTTTCAAAGCTTTATCAAATATCTTGCTGTAGTAAACTGGCAAGAGAGACCGTCTGCTAGAGGTGCTCTTAGCCATTATGTACGTGAATTAAGAATAACAAGTTGCATACTGAAATTAAGATTTTATTTATTCATAGTTCATTACCCAATATAGTACCTATAGCAGTAGCTATTGAAGTAGACAATTATCTGCTATTAGAATAATATAACTATATATTAGTGACACTATACTACAGGTTAAATTTGGTTTAATAAGTAGATTTGCACTGTTAATATGAGTTTATTAGAGTCTGAGAGTGAAAGACTACATGCTTTGTGCTATCCACAGTTCTAACGTGCAAGAGTGGATATGCAATCACTCTGCCACAACTACATTGCAATCAGCAATTCTATCTCCATTCCACTGCAGACTCGGATGAGCCATTAAAGGATGTGAGCACTACTATCATGATGAAGGTGGCTAGCTATGCAAGATTGAAACGTTGTTTTAGTGTTCATACTGCGATCGTTGTTCAGAAACAGCTATGTACGGCCGAGAGGACAACATCAAAGGTAGTGTTAAAGTAGAAAATGCATACGTTAAAGCACCACAACTTGTTGCATTACATAAATGACTTTAGCCACTATATATCATTGTTAGTTGTTTTCTTATTAGTTAATAGTTCCAATATACGTACATTACTCTGGAGAGCAGCACTTGCAGTCGGCCGACTTGTGTAGTCCTTCCTTAACAAACTTTTCAAGGAATCTCTAGCTAATAATATGTGTATAAAATTTAAGGAGTAAAATTCAGGCCAGTACAAGTGAATAAATCTCTACAGATCTCCGTACCATTTTCAGAGTACTTTAACAAATATTCGGAATTCCAATTCGGTTGAGTATAACATATTTTATTAGATAGGTCCTTTTCTTTAAGTTTTTGTTTTGCTGGTGCGGAGAGGTTGGGAGGGACTAGGGAGGCTTCCCAGGGTCTTTTGCCTGCGTTACATAGTTCGAAGATTATTACTCTACAAATCCAAACAAGCCAACGTAAATTAATGGTATGGAGTAGTTAGTTTATTTATTTATTTATTTATTTATTCCGTTGAAGGCAAATATGCATGTGAGAGTGAAACGAAACGTACCCAGTCGCCCAGACGTCAGAACAGTAACCTAGTTTACAGTTCCATTCTTCGGGAGACATGTAATGAAGGGATCCTGACCAACCTTCCATGTCCATGATGGTTTTTTCGTTAGGCATTTCGGCTGTCCTTTAGTAGTGGTAAGTGGTAAGAGGATTAAGTAAGTTCCAGCAGCCGAGTAATATTGATAGGTAACGGGAAAAACGAACTCACAGCCCGAAGTCGGTGATTTTGATGTTGTACGTGTCATCAACCATGATGTTGTCTGGTCTAAGAGATTTATGTAGAGATAAGTTATATGGAAGTGAAAGGATAGAGCGCATATAGGGAGACTTACTTGATATCTCGATGAACGTAATTGTTTTCATGTAGGAATTCCAGACCTTTTAGGATCTGTCTTCATCATGGGTATCCCAGAGAGAGAGTCAAGGGTATGTATGAGATGCAGTGAATTCTTGATCTGACTTACGCAGCGATGGACGCAATTCGTTGTTCAGGCCATAGCTTTTCGGGGCTGATCAGCTTGATTTCGTCGTGAAGGTCTCGCCGGAACAGTTCAAAGACGAAACACGTATGCGGAACACCTCCGAATTTGTGTTCGTTACTACTGTCGAACTTTTCGAAATATCTGATCTATAACAATGTGGGTTCCTGGGTTAGACTCGCAATTCTACGTACGAAGCCAATTTGAACGAATAGGATGCAGACTAGGTTATTGCGTGTGTAAAGGAATACTCACAATATTCTCATGGGGATGATCTTTTATAAATAGTAAGGCCCGTATTTCCCGTGGATCGGGTTGAGGCTTTTTGCTTTGGGCGTCAATCCGTACCGCCTTCACAGCGACATCTTCTATTGCTCCTGTTCCCCGATGCGTTCTCTGGACTTTCTGGATGAACAGTTGATTAGTATAACAGTTTGATTAGTATCAACGTCTCTAAACTGATATCAAGCTACATGAAACACTAACATAGATAGTTCCGTAACCACCCCGGACCAGTCCAACAGCATGATCCAGGTCGTAGCTAAAGCTGCTTGTTTTCGCTTCCTCAACTGCATCAATGTCCGAGGAGCTGATGGGTTCGCCTTGCTGATCATCGGAACCTGAGTCCGAGTTCCAGCAGAGGGAACATGAGCACAAGCAGGAGCTACAGCTGAAACTGGAGCCGGGATACTCTACATCGAAATGACGCATACGGGTATCTGCATAATATGCCGGTCATCAGAGCAAGTGAATTTATTATAGGAGGGATAACTTTGCGGAATCATGATTGCGCGATGGTCGTCGTATGGGCAGTGGAGGAAGGAGATAGGTTGCTGGGAGACCCTAGATTACTCCATCAGGAAGTACAACAACCCGTCTTTCTTCGTCTTGCAGCCTAGGCGCGCGTGCTTAAGCGACTGCTTCTGCTATTCTCTTCCTCCTCAACGTCCGCCCACCTCCCGTCGCTCTTTTTCTTTCCCTCTCCCTTGGTCTGTTTGCCCCCATCGACAGCGACAGCGGCCATCTACGTATCACAAAAAACGTCAAAAAAATAGCGTGTGCACAGAACAGTCCACCCACCATCAATCATTTCAGCCTGCACCGATTCGGACTCTCGGACGCTGCTTTTTTTCCTCCTCCACCCGGTCGTACACTCTTGACTTCTTACTTTCACGACAACAACAACAACTAAGGCAGTAATGGCTTCGACAATGGACGCTGCAGACCTTGCGCGTTGGACGCGCTTTGCGGCAAAGGGCGGCATTGGCAAATGCACAGCGGTCCAAGACTGCATTGCTGAGAGCCCAGAGGACCTCATGTTCCTCAAGGTGTGTTCCGGTCCTGTGTGAGGAAGCGTCAAAGACTGTTCTGATGGAGCTTGCGACAACGTGCAGGATGACGAAATTACTGTGCTCATGCAGCTGCCCGGCCAATCGGGTCGGTATCTGGTAAGTACTTAGCTTTGCTTTGTTTAGTTTCGCAAGTGTGTTAATTACAGCAATAACGGGACATGTTTAGGGCTATTGCGAAGGTGTTGTCGGCCGATTCCAGGGAGCGCATGTCCGCTTCCATGGAAAACTCAAACGGCCGGTCATGACGAAGCGGCAGTCGTCATCGGCCGTGTCCGTGGCCAGTTCTCCCGTTCCGTCCGTCACACCGTCCCCGCGCATGCCGCTCGCGCCTCTCACAGGCCCAAGTGCAGGCAATAACGTGCAACCACTCGACCGCGACTCCGTTGCACTGAGTGATCCCTTCGACCTTGAGCTTGACGCCCCTCCGAAAACGCGTCGCTCGGAGGAGGCGAGCAATCACAGTGATAGTGATGGACCGGGTCGCCGGAGGCTCACGCGAGCCGTGGATGATCTGCCCGGACTTGAGATGTTTCTTCCCCGTTCACGCTCCGGAAGCCGCTCGCGTCCGACTTCGCGGCCTGCTTCGCGTGGACAGGACAGCGACGACAAAAGCGGCAAATGCAAGACTCGAATAGTCACTCAACTTACCTCTTCTCCGCGTGCGGATTCACTGGATGCTCCTCCTTCACCATTACCACCGCCATCTCCACTACCGCGATCCCAACGCGCTTCTCCTGAGAAATCAGAAGTTGAAATTAAGGTGGACGAAGATACTCCGCAACTCAGCGCTAGTCCTGAGCCGTTGCAAGAAGAGCAGACGCCAGAACAGGATGCCTCAAGCCTGTATGATGCCGGATCTATGCGCTCATCGTTTTATAGTACTAGATCATATCGTTCTTCCGTGATTGGGGCTGAAAATGGTCTTAGTGCTGGTGCTCTCAACGCTCTTGGGAGATTCTCACAGGCTGAATCGGATGACGGTGGACTTGGCATGGGTATTGGACTCAGTATGTTGCAGGACATGGCAGATGACGATGAAGAGGAAGTTGGTGCTAGTGAGGCTGCTCCTCCAACACCAAGGATCGACAAGTCTATAGAGAATACCGAACAGAAGAAGCAAATCGACGAAAACGAATCAGATCATGTACAAGGTGATGAGAACAGCGAGAATGAGGACGAAGAAGATGTAGATGATGACGAGAGCTACTGGGATGGTGCAGATATTTACGATAATTACCGATACTCTCGGTACTCTGTCATGACCAAGAACTCTCGTCGCAAGTCTCGTTTTAGTATGATGTCGAGATACTCCGTAGCAGATCCGGCACCCGCGTCAATACCCCCCGTTCCCTTGGATGTGGAGACTCGTTTACGATCAGACTCCGGATTAAGCAGTCCGACCAGTCCCAATGAAGAGCCCGAGCGGCGAAAACACGTTCCTCCACCTCTTACTTTCGTGAAGAATACACCTAATTCGTCATACGCTACCAACTCACTGCTTTCTGTTGGGCCACAAAGTGCAACACTGTCTCCTACTGCAATATCGAACCGCTCTACCGCCGAATTTAGCTCCGACGGGCATTCCCCACTTCTTCATACGAACTTCGCTTCACCGCGCACGTCCTCGTCTCACGCGACGAGCTACGGTACTGATGAATCAGACGCTCGTTCAGGAAGCCCTTCTCCGGTCGGACCGGTTTTTGCGGGTGCTGGCGCTTCAAACATTAATGGGAATGGGGCAGCGTCGGCGCTTCGACATCGACTCGAGAATGGACACTCGGCGAGTCCGACTCCTCTTCCATCACCCAAACCTGTCAAGGATACTCAGTCAGTTGAGACGACGAATCGAGATTCCAGCGAAGGTCCGGGTAAAGGTATAGTGGTGGATGATGATGATGACGAGCCTGTGAGCGTCACCGTAGTCCCTGCAGATGAGAGTGGGTCATCAAGGGAGGACGATAATGTGAGGGACAGCGATGTGCGAGACTCAGTCCAGTCTACTGTCTCTACCGTCAGTACAGCGAGCGTTGCTACCACTGCGTCTGATTTCTCAGACGTGTCTGGTGTTATGCGCAAGATGGAACGAGACCTTGCATCTGCTACTGCATCTTCTGGAGTCGGCACTGGCGTAACCTCCCCTTTGAACCTACGATCACCATCAGTAGACACCGAAGGTCCCCGGACTCCAAACGCTGCAGACTTCCCTAATGGTACCACGCAGCCTCTTCGTCTACACGACCGAGCTGGCATTCAAGCAGCACCTTCACCTGATCTGGTGAAACAACAGCCTACCCCGTTGACTCCTTCGCCGTCGCCGCGACGGCAACCACTAGCCCAGCCAGATGCCAAGCCCGCCGAGCGTTCACAACTTTTACACCCCGAACAAGCTCTATTCCTCCCACATCCCAACGCACCACGACCTAACCCCGCCGTCCTCTCTGGTCAACGCGCAAGCACATACGGTATGCCTCCCGTGCACGAGCCGCAACCGACATCCGCACAAAGTTCTTCCTCTAGTTCAGATGTTCCAGGAGGAAGTTCGCTGGAGGCGACGCTCCGCGCTGCTTCTGCCGCGCGTGTCGGACCTGCTGGCGTTCCGCATCGTCCAACGATTTTCGGAAAGACGGTCGTCGACCTATCGAATGCAGATGGGCCAGTTCCGATAATGTGGTCGCTCCAGCCGTTCCCGCTAGAGCCTGCGAGCAGGGCAGGATCACCTGCAGCTGGTGGCGCACGTACTCCAAGGCGTTCTGCGACTGCCAGTGCGTCGCCGTTGAGCCAGAGTGTTAGCATGGGGTCGACACCGCCGTCTCCAGCCTTTGTTGCAAGTTTCCCGAACACCCCTTTGGCTACTCCAACACAGACACCTTCTGCGTCTCCTGCTATTCCATCATCTTTAATGCCTGGTACTCGAACGCCACCACTTTCTGAAAGCAAGCCTGGTCCACCTGGTCCCAGTTCTAGCCCGAACCCAAATGTCCTCTCGAGACCTAATTTTTCTCCGCGAGTAGGTACTGCGCGACCTCGTTCTCGCTCGTTCTCAGACTTTGCACGTGAAGTGCCTTCGAAGCCTATTTTGAAAGAGAGAGCAAGTGAGGAAGGAAGTAAACCGTCAAGAGCAGCGAGTCTACAGTCTCTGAAAGCGTCTGCAGGTGCCCCGAATTCCGGCACCCCGTCGAATGGCCATCCGCTTCGCCAGTCTACGGTACCAGCGACTCAGCCACAAGCCAGTCGAGGGCCTCATACTCCATCACCCTTGGGACGACCAGAAAATAATGCAGTAGTCGGTGCCCCACGAACAGCCTCACTCTCGAAAGGGATATCCAGTCCTCTTGGACGATCATTCTTCTCTTCCAGCCAGACACAGCTGCCCACTCGAGAAGAGACTGCATCGGATACCGAAACAGCTGGGCTGCGTCAGCCGCTTGTTCCTCCGAATCGTAACTTTGGAGTACGGCAGGTAGCTTCAGTTGATAACTTTAAGACGGAGCGCACGGAGTCACCGCTTGTCAGTCCTCCAAAGACTGTGTTCCAGCCTGTACGAAGGAATTCGGGTCCTGTGGAGGGTTCCTCTGTTCCGGCGGCTCCAGCGCCTACTGCGCCATCGACTTCAACAGCTTCGGCTAGTATTACTTCGTCAATCAAGAGTTTGCGGCGGATTTCATCACCTACCAGCAAGAAGCACCAGCGAAACACGTCACAGCAGTCTCAGGCCTCTTCAAACGGCGAATTACGATCGGCTGTCACCTCACCTCCTCCGCCCTCCAGTACTTCAGGTACGCCGTCACCTGAACAGAGGTCGAACTCAGTCAAGTCGAAGCTATCGTTATCACATTTACGTATTCGGAGTTCCAACAAGGACTCGTCGTTTGATACTCAGACGCCCTCGCCAAGTACAGGGCCTGCGACGCCTGTCTTTGAGTTTGACAGTCAGCCTGAGACGATACAAGTGCAAGACGCAGAGTTCGAGATGATCCGCCCAACGATGCGTCGCGTTTCGTCAGAGCCTATGAGTGACGATTCCCTCATAGGGAACCAAGACGAGCGTCGCTCGTTACAGCGAGAGTCACGCGTAGACAGTCCAGGTGGGGCCTCGGTTGGTTCCATTTTGTCACCTATCCAAAGCACAGGTGCAGAGTCAATAAGGGAGCAGGACGGGAGGCTTGCGAAGGTAGCGGAAGATGCCTCTGCTCATCGAGCACGGGAGCTGAAGTGGATGTCTACGATGTCGTCAGTCCCTCCAGTGCAGTCTCGCAAGAGCAAGAAGATCCGGCGATTAGTGCTTGAGGGTGTTCCATCGTCCGTACGGTACCTCGTATGGAGTCATCTTACGGACAGTAAAGCGAAGCGCATACCTGGGGTATATGGGAAGCTGGGACAACGTGGACGCGTGGCGGCGTCCGAGGTCATTGAGCGAGATGCGGCACGCTGTTTCCCAGACCAGCGACATTTGCAAGATCCAAAGGGGCCGTTGGTCGGTTTACTACAGACTTATTTGACTATGGTCCCGGATATTGAATATCAGACCAGTGAGTTTCCTTTATCATCCTTCTTGACACTTTTTATTGAGTTGTTTGACAGGCCTGACACTGGTTGCTGGGCATTTATTACTTCAATCACCCGAGGAGGACGCCTTCTGGATATTTACGTCTATGATGGACCTTCATCTTCGCGCATATTTCTCATCGAAATCTGTCCAAATGGAGGCGGATGCCCTGCTCTTCGGTAAAACTGTTGAATTGCTGAATCCTCCGCTTGCGAAGAAGCTCTTCTACGACTTGGGCATTCCTCCTTCAGAAATTTGTCGTATTTGGTAAGTCGAGGCGCTTAGTCCTCATTTGGCGTTGTTTATTGACTTGGCTTGCTCTCTCGTTTTCTGTGTTTGCGCAAAAGGTTCTCCTCACTTTTTGCCACCACCCTTCCGCAAGACTATGTCAACCGGATCTGGGATGTTTATCTCTGCGAAGGTGCGCGTTAATACCGTAGCTTCGTTGCCCTATGATGTCATTAACCTCAGGGAATTAAATAATTTAGGTCCACCGTTCCTGTTCCGCATCGGAGTCGCAATTCTCGCGTGCTGCCGAAGTGCAATTGAGTCGACCTCGGATCGCGCAGCCGTCGTTGCTTTCCTCATGCGTCCTGAGACGCTTTCTTTACTCCCAGAGGATCCAGAGGAGTTCATTAATATTGCGTTGGCTGCGAAGATTAAGGATGAAGATATTAAGAAGCAACGAGTGAAGGTTGAGGCACACATGAAACAGCAGACGCAGACCGCGCAGAGGAGTACGGCTCCGAGACTTGTTTCAAGTATTTCGCTTCCGAGGGCTGCGCCTGCGACGCCGTTATGAGTGCGATGTCTTCCCGGTTTTTCCTTGTGTTCTTGTTCGACGAGTGGGCCTATTGTCAGTTCGTCCGTTCTTCTGTCTGTTTCGCGCGGGTCATTATTCGATCTTATCAGTTATTGCAACTTCTCTTCTCTTCCTTTTTTTTTCTTCTTGACATCGAGTCTTGGCAGGTGCATTACATACGCATATTCTACGTTCTTGCATTTTATACATTCCATACGCTCCGATGCATTAAATTTAGCCCCTTCGCTTTCTTTTCTTTCAAAATTAAGTTATTATGGCATCTTGTCAGTCCTAAAACTATTCTTTTCTCCTTCTTTCCCTCCTTTGACTTTTACACTTCTGTTGGTCCTGTCTTGGTCAATTGGCTATTATTGCCAATACAAAATCACACTTCTTGCATCTTGCATTCTTTCTATCCTTGCATTATTCACTCGTTCATTGCACGTCGATATTAGTATTCCTTTATTTCATTCTTCGTTATGTATAGAATCCTTATTGGTGTTAATTCCTCCTCTCCTTTTTTGTATCTTTTTTGGTGTGGTGCACAAGTAGTTCGGCGAATAGTGAATAGTAATCGAGAATTGAGTTCTTCTGCATGTATAATCGATTTGAACTGGAATTCTGTAAGACAGTAAGGACACTAGACTACAGGATCACAACAACAAATTGTAGTAAGTCTCTGGTAGTATATCGGTTAGTACACGCGCCTGTCATTTCAAAGTGTACGCGCGAAAGCGGGGTTCGACTCCCCGCCAGAGAGTGCATTTGTTGTCCAGAAATTTTTTCTAAATCATTGATTCAGTAAAATACTTCTGACTTTACTCTTTGCATTTCTCCCCTGGAGAAAAACCTCAATATACTGGCATATTCTGCGTAGTCTGTCACCTAGTTAATGTATAGACTCTTATAATATTGAAAATTTGAATATTCCACACTCTATAAGTGTATAATTAATTAAAGAGTTATACTTAACACCTGTTTATTTTATGGAGCAATTTACCTCTACTTTATTATAATACATTTGCAGTCATTTTCCCTCTATTTTAGTATTTCTTGCATGGTAAGTACTGTAGATATATTGATAATAAGGAGTAGATCAGATACAAACTAATCTACTCTTTTTAACTGAACTACATAGTTGGGGTCATTACTTAGCTATCACTACTGTGCTGCACAAAGTCCATCCAGGAGTGGATAATAGATACTTTGCATTTATTACTTTGCTCAAGAGCTCACTTGAGTCACCAATGGCAACTGTTCTAATCAGCAAAGTAGTAATTTATTTCTATTGTTTCAATTGTACAATCCCTAATCAAGCTCGTATCAGCATATTTTCCGAATTCAATCATAGCAAATCTGATTACTTTGCATATTCAATATCAAGTACGTATATGCTCATGCTACTTACACAACGAGCTAGACGTTTGGCAAAACGCTCGAAGCATACAAACTTGTTGCGCTTCGTCTAGCTATGAGAATATCCTAAAATTCTTGCTAACAGTACACCAAACTTCATATCAAGACAGTTCATTATGTTACGAAGGAAAGGAGCATCGAATCAGGATGAGATGAAAGAATCACTCATACAACACGATCCTCAGTCTTCTCATCAACAAAGAAAGTCGCGCACATCGTTCTCCCGGCACTCCCAAAAATCGCATAGAGATAAGTCCAAAGAAGGAGAGAAGTCAAAACAACAAGAGGTGGAGCTTAAACGTTGCCAGGCCACTTGTACAAAGCTTCAAACTGAAATAGATGAAAACCTGTCCTGGTTAAAATCCAACTACAATCCGTTTCACACGTCACTTTACAATGCCTCACAATGTGTTCCTTCAGAACATAATCTACGCATTTACAGAGAATGCTGCATGAGGATCAAGGAGATGGAGCACGACGAAAAGGAAGGTGTTCGTAAGGAATATGATACCCTTTTTTATGACGGACCTGTTTCGCTAGAAGAGTATAAAGATTATCGGAGTGTAGGTGATGAAGAGCTGACGAATAAAATGTCAAAGCTTAAGGCTATGTTCAAGTTTGAAGATGCAGATGTTTCAAATCAAGACAGTAATAATAATAATATAAAACCTCAAAGTACTAGTAACCGGAATCAGCGGAAAGGTTCAAGTTCAGAAAACGGCCGCAACTCAGTTAGAGACTGTTTTCTGTCCATTTACAAGTTTTGGAAAGCAGGAGACTTGGATGGACTTGTCTGTTCGCGGCAAGCTCTAGACAGTGCTATTTCTTCTCTGGAGACAGCCCTGGGCGATCAAGCATTCTGGAATGACAATGAAGACGAGGTCGATACTCTTACCGCCCAATACAGAGAATTGAAACCAGAACTTCAAGTCATAAGGGAGAAAGGAATTGACGATCTGCCCTCCCTGAAGGAAACGGAAAAGAGGCTCGAAGAATTAAAGGCAAAGATAGTTAAGAAGAAGCAACAGATCGATGCACGTTTTAAGGACCGATTAGACGAGACAGATTCTATGTTAGGTGTGCCTAAACACATTTGGAATGAGAAACATCGATCCAAGAAAGGTTCTCGAACGAGTCTTAGAAGGAAGCTGAAATGGGGTGACAAATAAACTAGTAGAGTTATAATAGAACTGATAAACTGTCTGTCCGTGACACTATAAGATTCTTGTATGATGTTTTGCTTCTTCTTGTATAACGAAAGATTCTCCGACTTGACACAGTCATATCTTTAGATAGATTGGCAAATAGACAACCGAGCTAATGACTGTGTAGAGAACATTATTAAAAGGTAACAAGCGAAAAGATAGCATGTATATGAAATGAATGTGTTGCGCAGCGTCGAAGCGTCCATCCAAATGGAACCATAAATGCTCATGGGAAATGTAATTAAAGGTGATTGGAAACACGAAGTATGTAGGAAGATAGATAGGTAGAAGGTATTCTAGAACTACATTAGATTAAACGTCCATCCGACTGTACCGGTTTACGACCTCGAAACTCAACACCTCTCGTCGCCTCAAGGATTAAAAGAAGAGGCAGATTCATATATTTCACGCATCACCACTTCTCCGCGAACGTCTTCAACGAGTACTCCAGTTCGGGGCTGATAAGCGACGTGCGCCAACCCAGCATCTCCTCTGCGTCCAACTCCAGCTTGAGTTCATCCCTTTCTTCTTTTGCTTCGTTGGTATCTTTAGATCCAGGCATATTTGTAGGTGCATGTGGGTGTGTAAAGGTGGTTGCGGAAGGAGTTTTGAGTGAGCTTGTGTCGTACGCGGAGAATTGTGGTTGATTGTTATACGTCAGGTGAGCGCCTGTACTCTCACCCATGTCGGACAAAGTGCTCGAATACCCATATGCAATCGGATATGAACCCATACCAGCATCCCGTTTTCTGCTATCAGACGAGTTTCCGCTCACTTTCAAGAATGATTCCTCAGTGCCAACATCGCCATCCATATCCGCTTCAGCCTCTATATCAGAACAATAACTCACGATCGACGTTGCAGCAGTCGAGCGCGTCATCCGCGAGGAAGAAGCCCCAGAACCAGACCGCAAAGAGTACCCAGATCCATACCTAGATCCGCATACAGAAGCAGAACCGGACACGGAGGAAGCATTAGCGTCTCTGCATCCTGTGTTAGACTGTGATGCAGCAAACCCAGAAGTCGAGACAGACGTCGACCCAGAGTAGGAGTTCGAGTAGGAGTAGGAATAGGAATAGGAACAGTCGCCTGAGGAGGACGTTTCCGTCTCCGAGGGTGTGCTCGAGCTTGCACGGCGGAGAGGTTGAGGTTGAATTTGGAATCGTGGTCGTGTCTGGGATTGGTTGGGCTGTTCCTCTGGTGAAGGTTCACCGTCTTGTGAAGGCGGTGGAGGAGGTAGTGCACGGGTGGGTGCACTACGATACGCCTGAATTTGCGCGTGTAATTGATTCTGGCTCCGGCTCCGCTTATGCGCGTGGGTTTGTACCGGTAAAGGAGACGTCGATCGTGGCAGCCCCGGGACCATCTCTGAACGTGAAGTCCTACCGGAAGGCACAGTAATAGACGGCGGTGGCGTAGGTGAATTCGCCAAACTCCTCTCAATCATTCCCGAGCTCACGAGCTTCTCCAATTCTTTCAAATGTTCCGGCGAGTTCGCCCTCTCCTCCAAACTCCCCGGTACATTGTCTGTACTATCACCCCAACCTCCCAACGTGCTCTGTGTACTCGTCACACTCAACATGCTCATACTCGTGCTCGCGCGCGACGGGTATTCTAACTGTTCTCGCGATTCGGAAACGCGACGCGAATAAGCACGACCCCCTTCGCGGAGTCGATTAACGGCAATTGCGCTGTCGATCGCGATACGCCATCTGGCACGTGCGATGGACGAGTAGTTTTCGCGAAGACCCGGAAGGTCCGGAATGCTCTGTGTCGGGACGATCGAAATCTTCACTTCTTCCTCATCTCCACTCTCAGTCTCCCCACTCTTCTTATTCGGAACATCCTTCGTACGTTTCTGCGCTTCTGTTCCTCGTTCATCTGCTTCTGCTTCCGCCTCGGGACAGAGCCATGGATGCCCAAGTGCCTCCGAAGCTGTCGGGCGCGTTTTCTGGTCGGCATGAACAAGGAAGGAGACGAATGCTTTCGCAGTGGGTGAGACTTTGGTCCAGTAACGTCCTTCGAACGCAAGTTGACAGCGGAGAATGGCCTGTCTAAGGACAGCGAGCGTTTCGTTAGGGAAGGGCATCATGCCTGAGAGTATTGCGTGTGTAATTACACTGTACACGCAAAAATGTTAATTGGATTGTATTATTATTCAGTGAGAGAAAGAAAGCATACCCAACAGCCCAAATGTCTAACTTTGTCCCATGACCTTTACGAGTAAAGATTTCAGGAGGGGAGTAGTCATATGTTCCAGTATCACAGTATAACAAGTCGTCCGGGTGTCTGACATGTCGAGCTCTATGTGAACATACGCGTACAATAATCAATATACCGTTCCGAAAGCCGAGCAACAGATCAGAACGTACGCGCCGAAGTCAGCCAGTACTATATCCGCGTTGCGAGCTCTTGTACGGAGGAGGATGTTCTCAGGTCTGCGCGTAAACATGTCAGTATTAGAAACCTTGCTTAAATTAACAAATAACAAGAAGTCGTACTTTAAATCATGATGCACGATCCCATTGTCATGCAAGTACTCTACACCATTTAAGATCGAACTGAGATGCAGAGAAATATAAGTCAGTTCTTATTTCCCTAGATCGGTAAACTGAGAAGCGAACGCCTACCGAACACATTGTTTTGCATCGACTTCCGTGAACTTGCCTCCGCGCTGTTTTAGTTGATCAAAGAGCTCGCCGCCCGCAGCGTACTCGAAGGACATATAATACGAATTATGCGATTCAAAGCATTCGTAGAACCGTACCTATATCAGATCACGCACGCCACAAAAGTGTCAGCCACATCATCCAGCATCCAGCATCCACACGACAAAAAAATAGCCCAGCCAAGACGAAAGACAAGAAGGGGGCTTACAATATTCATATGATTCAATTTACTCAAGATATTACACTCAAAAGTGACAATATCCTTATCCGCACGCTTCAGGACGGACTTTTTGACCACTTTAAGTGCAACGTCGCGTTTGCCCGGTTTTTGCGGGTAACGTTTCTCGCATCCACGATCATCGTATACGCTCCCTGGGTCGTGCCACGTTGCATGCTGCGAATCCAGAAAATAAAAATATTAGGTGTATGTTATTGTTTTATTATAGATATGTAAGTGTCGGCCCAGAGGGAACGTACCAACACCTTCCCAAACGTCCCTCTCCCTACGACCCGTCGGTAATGATAATTCTTCTTCTTTTCATAAGACGCGGGTTGACTGCGGAACGTCTCGCGCAGATTCTCGATCGAGCGAGATAGCTTTAGCAGGGCAGGCATCCTATCTAGAGTTTGCTAGAACTATCTTATTGATTGGCCAGTGTGTAGAGTAGGTGGCTAGAATGGGCTGAATGACGGACAGCGGATGAGTGGACTGGAAGTTGAGGAGGTCGCCGTTGTGGAATAGAGGAGGAAGAGAATAGAGCGGGAAGGGAAGAGCGGGCGGGGGAGGGAAAGGTCAGCCAATTGTGCGCTGGAGGCCCTTTATAACCAGGAGGCAGGGAGGCGCACACGAGGGCAGGTGGAGGCGAGGGAAGCCACAGCCAACGCTAGTGCGGGACCGAAAACAAACAAACAGAACAGAGAACAGAAAAAGCCGAGAAAAGACAGCCAGGTCAACTGTATAAAAAGCGATCGAACGAGCGAGCGGGCCACGAATGGCCTAGGGTGGCACAGTTGTACGTAGGTGTAAGAGACAAGTCTAGTTGGGTTAGATGTGCGGCCATTTCTCGATCGGAACACAAAGCGAGGCAAGGAAAGGCTTGGGATTCGTGATTCGTGGCTCGGGTGTTCTTCCCTGAAGCCCCAGAAAGGGTGACGTTGCGGGGCTTGGCGAGCAACTTGGTGCGCTCGTCACGACCGCCAAGAACAACTTGCGTGCAGAGAAGCCTGTGTCAAGAGACTAGCGTCGTTTACAAGTAGCCGTGTTTCCATTCTGTATCTTTTTTCATAAAGCGAGAGGCTGTTTTCTTTCTGTTGTTTCTTCCTTTCTGTGCAGGTAAGTAAGCGAGGCAGACAGCCATGTGAGATTGCATTTGACTTGACAGGTAGATAGATGGATAGGATAGATGGGACGAGACCCTGCATGCAGCATTATGGTAACCTCCGATGGCGTTGCAGTGATGCGTACTAGCTACACGAGGAAAGCTCCAGTGATGCGCATTTGTGTTTTTGAAACAAGGCAAAGCACAGCCAAATGAGCGTGGTAGTGGATTAACTTCAAGACGTTCATCACACAAACTTACACACGCACACTGCACATCGACTGCACTGGCGTCTTATCCGCCACCGGTCTACAATCCACATTTGAAAAAAAACTCTTACTCGCGCCTTGGCATCCTCCAAGAAAACAAATCCACTGGACATCACACAGCCGGAACGAGAACGAAAACTTCCGACACGATAAGCCTCGGTCTCGCATGTCTAATTCGTCCAATCCCGACGATCGTTTTCAAGAATTAAAAGTCTTGAAGATGTCTTGGAAAACCCAGAACACCTTGGCAGCACCTATTAAAAGGCGACGATTGCAAGCGAAACGTGTGTTAAAACAGTGCTAAATACTAGTTGGTGTATGAGATGTATATTATTAAGCTATGCGTGTTTGTGAATGGGGAGCTAGTAGTGTGATAAGTGATGACAATCATAATCGAAGAAGATGGAGAGCGCGCTCTAATAGCTTGGGGCGCGCTGCGGAGGGGGGAGTGGAGAAAGCATGATTATCTCGGCATTGATACGGGTTATCCGCAGCCCTTTACGTTGTTCTTGTCCTTTCATCCATCGACCCTCCAACCAGAGCACATTTCGCCTCACCTGTTACACGGTGAAAGTAGAACGAGAAGCACGTCAGCATCGGTATTATGTTTATCGAAAAAGTAAGCACAAGAAAGAAAGTGTAAACAAAAACGGGTGGATCTACATACCAAGACACTGTTAACGTCCTTTTTTTGAGTAAATACGAGACGACATGTGGCAGACTAGCTGACTACAACCCAACCGTAAGGATGTCCCCCCAATTCCTCACCGCAATGATACCAGCACCAAACATCACCACGCTCGTCAAAATTGATATATTCCCTGCAAGGTATTGCGGCGCGATAATCTGCTCGCGGTAGAACCGGCCGAGTGCACCCTCGTTTTCTTTTTCGTTAAGTCGACCTCGTGAGGAGGTGGCAGAAGAACCAAAGGATGCGGGGATGTATGCGGGACCAGAACCTGGTGGTGCCGAACGACGAGCCATTGCGTTTTGGCTTTTATTTTGTTGAACGATGAAAATGGTTGGTTGCTGGTGGTCGACTGAAGACTGGAAAATCGTTGCTCTCGTCACGACTTCAGAATAGATCACGTGCCATCTTTCGCTGAGGCGGCATTGAAGGAACAATATTAATATTGGATTTACTAATAGGATATCCTTTGTAAATGACAGAACATGAGGAAGTATTCAATATCCTCATGTCTCTTACACAACAATCAAGATAGTTGTACTCCTCGTCTTGCTGGATCAAAAAAGACTGATGTCATTATGTAATAAATCAATCAGCGTGTCATGATCATTTAAACATATGTAGACTCGGATGTATTGCTGGCTGCTAACAACGGTTGTAAATCAAACTCGGCGCAGATTTATAATTTCGCATGCAACTAACAGCGACGTCTTTTCCCTTCTGGCGTTCTACTCGATGATTTCTGACGAGACGCCTTTACATGCAATAACAGCCTTCAAGGCCACTACAGGCAGGTCTATCTTTATATTTCAGTAATCAGTGCTAATTGAACATTCTAATTGTATATGAACAGTTGCATGTACATTCCTTCACTTGTACTATGCTAGTGAGTTGCACCGGTACCTCTCTGCAAGTTTACCGTTTGTCTAACTCATACCGACAGTCTCACACTTAGATGAAGAGGTTCGTTTGGTCACTTATGACTGTTCATCACATTTAACATAGCTGTACCTTAGGTTGAATATATATGGGTGAGTAATCTAGTAATCTGGTAGTCGTTTCGTACTTGACGTTTTCCAGACCAAACGTTGGACGGCTGGGAAAATTGCTTATTTGCTAGTAAGTTCTCACCGTTCGCAATAATTGAAAGATGTTCTCAAATTGAAGAACAGACAAGATATACTGGCTCTATATTCCTAATGTAAGTGTGAAATCTCAGTTTCGCACTCTGTATTAATTATTGTATTCTATAGATTGGCTTTCTGTGGCACAGTCCAATATGGATGGGAGAGGTCTGCAGTTGCTTTCTTCGAGGTGCCAGGCATTATCGACTTTCTAATTAATTCATGTAAGTACTTTTTGTATTCGAGTGGATTTCAATAATAGTTAAGGGGCTATTCTAGGTTTATCTGGTCGTTTATATACAGGATTAGGGACTATGATTATACTGCTAGGCGAAAGTTAGTGCCTCATTCAAGCCGTTTAATTGTATATAAAGCACTAATAATTTCTTTGCTCAGTTATACTCATGATGCGTGTCTATGCATTATTTGGAGCAACGAGGTGGATGTTAGCTGTATTCGTCATCCTGACATTATTACTATTCGGATTCAACATCCTACAGCTCACATTGAACCTTGGTAAGAACCTTCTTTACTATTCTTTTCTAGTTCCTGATAACTTGTCTCTTCAAACTGACTGTTAAGTATCTTGGGATGAAGGGGTGGTCCCTTCTCGAATTTTTCCAGCGTCTGGTTTTGGGTGTCTGGATGTCACTCATGTATCCGGAGTTGGATGGACGGTGACTTCTTTCGTCGAGCTACTTCTGTTCCTTCCGGTTCTCTATAAAACTGTATGCATGAGGAAGTTCAGCTTTCCAATACACATTTCGAGGGACAACCCGCCAAAGAAAGAGGACATAATCACGCTAATGGCAAGAGACTCCATTGTATATTTTGCTGTGTAGGTCTTCCATCTCTTCCTATTGTGTCCATTGTTAATTAACTATCAACTTTTAGAATATTCTCTATTTGCCTTCTCGGCGCCATTCTTGTTTTTATCTCTGAACGTATTCCAAAGGATGTGAGTGAACACTATGCCCATCCATTTTGACTGACAACATCTCTATTACTAGTCCGACGCTTCCGAATTCCTGTCCTTCAATTCGAACACGTACCTAACAGTCGCGATAACAATTATAACAATCCTCGCTCCGAAGATGCTCATCAACCTCCGAGCAGAGTATTACGGACCGGTCGGATTAATTGCGACTCAGCTTTCATGGAACGCCCAGGCCCCTGAACGTTCTGTTCTGATGACTACTAACATTATAATGGGACAAAGCATGGTTGATGATCGCCTTTGAAATGCACGAATATTATCTTTGTTATTATTATGTATTTAATTCACACTTTTTCACTCTTGTACATCTCCGTTTAGCAAATTTTGATATTTTCACCTCATTGCAATGACATCAGCACCAAATATCACCATACTCGTCGAAATCGATATATTCCCCGCAATGTACAGCGGTGCGAACCACGCGATAATCTACTCACGTTAGTGCGCCCTTGTTTTCTTTTTCGTTAAGTCGACTTCATGAGGAAGTGGTAGGAGGGGCAAGAGAGCGTGGTGGTTCTGAACGACGAGCCATTGCATTTTGTCTTTTATTTATTGAAGGATGGATAGCTGGGTCGCTTAGTCGAATAAAGAGTCGGAGGACAGGTTTAAATCTCACCTTTGGAGTGCATCACGTGCCATCTCTCGCTGCCTAAGTTCGGTTGCCAGTCATTTTATCTTCTTTGGATTGAGATAATAATAATACGTCTACATCAGTTCGTAATTTCTGTGTGTAAAAGTTTCAAGTGCTCCACAGCTACTACACAACAATCAGGATGGTTGTACTCTTTTTTTGCCACTTCATCAAGTACCTGATGCGCTCACAATCAGCCGTCTTCAGGATTGGCTGCCTTTTTGTTGAGAACACTTGCTCTGTTCATCACAGTGATGAACAGAAATTATCTATAGACGACCGTTTAAATTGACTCATTTTTAATCTTTTATGGGAGTACTATACAGAACTGACGAATTGCTGATTATTTACAACACTGATATCTGACGTCTATCAGCAACCATAGATATTGTTAAGCTTATAACCCTCCCAACTAACGCACCCACAACACAAATGACTCTCTTCGTCTGCTCTACTCAATGAATTTTGATTTTTTCATCTTCCATGAGTTGACAGCCTTCAAGGCGACTACAGGTTAGTCTGAGCACTTCTTTTTATAGTAAATATTCTAATTATCCACAATCAGTTTCATGCACAACCTTACACTTGTACTATACTAGTGAGTCGTGTTAATAACATATACAATTTTAGTACAGCTCATGTCTATAGTCTTATGCTTAGATGAAGAGGTTGGCCCTATTAATTATTTTTGTTCACTATATTTAATATGTTTGTAATTCAGGTTACATATATATGGGTGAGTAACCTGAGAACTAGATAGTGGTTGTGAACTTGAATCTTTCCAGACTAAACGTTGGACTGCTGGGAAGATTATCTATTTACTTGTAAGTTTTCTCTTTTAATAACAGAGAGAAATCAGTCTTAAATTAATGACAGACAAGATATCTTGGTTCTATTTTCTTGATGTGAGCTCAAGTTCTAAAATACACACTTTATGTTAATTACTATATGTTGTAGCTTGGCCTCTCTAGGCACAGTTCTTCTCGGATGGGAGAGTAATGAGGTACCTGAATTTAAGGTAAAATACTATCATGACTTCTTACTATTACTCTCTTATATTCTGCTAGACAGGAGGTATTATAGGGTACCTTATCAAATCTTGTAAATAAAGCTAGAGAATCAGTTTGCTTTTAGCAAAAATTGAAGGGATATTCCAGGTTTATCTCGCCGTCTGTATAGTGGATTGGGAGCTATGATCATATTGCTTGCTGAAGGTGAATGACTTTCCAGAAATTACTTTATTCTATGTAAGATTGCTAACATGTTGAATTTTTCTTTTTCTCAGTCATACTTATGATGCGTGTCCATGCATTATATGGGTCAACAAGAAGAACACTTTATGCATTTGTCATGCTAACACTACTACTGTTTGGATTCAACATGTTGCAACTTATACTGAATCTTGGCAAGTACTATCTTGTCATTGTTTACTAAGTTCTGAGTCCTGACAGGCACCTTCTTTAAAATTGCTATTAAGTAGAGTTATGGGACTTGGGCAGGATCAATTTCCAAGTTGTCCCTGCACAAGCTGGAGATGGATGCAATTTAACAGAGCCTGTGTCTGGTATTGCATGGGCAGTGACTTCTTTCATTGAACTGATTATGTTTGCTATGGTCCTCTACAAGGTTGTACAGATGAATAGGTCACTGTCCCTGATACATACTTTAAAGGGGAGATCACCAAGTGAAGAAGGCATTATCACATTGATAGCAAGAGACTCTGTTGTATATTTTGCTGTGTAAGCCTTTTTTAATTCGTTGAGTGTTAATACTTAACTAATTGTCTATCAGAATATTCTCGATTTGTCTTTTCGGTACTATTTCAGCATTTATGTCCTACCATTCCTCAATTGTAAGTTGATACTACACCTATTCACACTATAACTAACAGCTTTTTCTCACAGGGCAGTTTCTGGATTTTCTTTGCTGCTTATAGGAATGCATACCAAACGATTGTAATAACAATCATAACGATTCTCGCTCCGAAGATGCTTATCAACCTTCGAGCAGAGTATTACGGTCCGGTTGGGATTATTGCGACTCAGCTTTCATGGGATGCTCAGGGTGCTGAATATTCTACCTAGTGGCTACTATTAATGTTATAGAATGAGTGGTGTAGCCCATGCCTTCGTACCTCCGAATGTTAACATTTATATAATATATACCTCCCCACCCCCACCTTTATCCCCAAACCTTCAGACCTGTCCGAGCCCGCAAACCAACTTGTCTAGACCAAAGGAAAAAGGACCTATTTTGTATCGCACTCGCGCATTTTTGTTCTATAGCAGTAGACACTGCTTGCAATGGTAACGAGCTTGCAGTAACCTGCAACGCCTCGCTCTTATACCACTCCTCCCTCTCTGCTTCAGGACTCTTCAGAACCTTATACCGCTGGAATCGTTTTCGCACGGAGATAGGTGGACAATTCCGGATTGTCACTTCGTATGCGAAGCGTAGCTCTACATCATCCATGCACATAATACAAACAGAACGTAGGAAGCATCCAATCTGACCGATGCATAGGTTCAACAACAATTTAATGGAACGGAGGATCAAATTGAGCATTTTGGAATTTAGGATGTATTATGTACAATACTGTCGTGCGTCAAAACTATAAGCCTGACGTTGGCTAACGCATTCGCTGCTTTTCCCGGTTTGCTATGCTGTGAACAAAATAGCAGTGGATCTAGCGAATAGATAGGACAGTCGTGAGTCGAGCGAGTATCATCAGTTTTATTCCGTTGTTGCGAAGTATCCCACGCCAGTGAGGAAAGAACCAATTCGTATCATACTCGAGCGTTTTGCTCCGGAATAGCAGAACCCGGTTGCGATAATGACGAGCCTGCAGCAGTCTTCGCAGCAGCAATCTCCAACGCCTCCCTCTTATGTCGCTCCTCTCTTTCCGCTTCGGGACTCTTCAACACCTTATATAGCTGAAATCGTTTCCGCGCTGAGATGGGTGGACAGTTCTGGATCGTCACTTCGTCTGCTAGACGTAGCTCTACATTCATTAAAGCGAAACGTCAACATATGAATAATAAGGAGAATACGATACGACAGCCTACGATTCTGGGGGTCATGAGTGAGGTACTTCTTCACGCGTTCCAAACGTTTCTTCGTTCGTGGGTGGACGGCCCAACGGGCAACGCTGACTGTGGCTGTCTTGTTCATGCAACCCACTTTGGTGACAATCCCCTGGAGGAGCAAAGGAGGCATGTCGTACAACGGCGGAAGTCGACAGACGTGGTATGGTGTAAACACACAAGAGTGAGTATTGTAACTGAGAAGTAAGAAAAAGTGTACCTCTGAGCTGAACAATTCAAGTAATACATTCTCACGATTACTAATCTGTTAAGCTGCGCAACAACGCACGTCACTCGCACTTGTTACTCACACACTCATTTCCTCCGTCTCTGTGTGCTCTGTAAGCTAGACCGACCTCCTCGGTACAATGGACAACTCCCCAACCTCCCTGTTCGACACGTACGAAGCAGACTTTGATCAGATCGTAGCCAGCATCCGCACAAAGCTCGATGGCGACAGCCCAGAACAATCGGGTGAACAGCGCAAGGCGGCCTTACGTCGTGTCGAGATGGAGCTCGACGAGGCGGATGAAATGGTAGCGCAAATGGAGATCGAGCTCCAAGGGATGCCCCAGAGCATTAAACAACCTTACGCGAACCGGCGGAACACCGCCAAGTCCACACTCTCCTCCCTCAAGACACGCGCACGCACGTTGCATGCTACAGTACAACGCGCTGCGCTACTTTCGTCTACCTCTGACGCTGCAGGCTCGCCGTTCCGGGACTCTACGGATGAACTGCCTGGTGGAGGGATCTCAAGTGATCGAACACGCTTGCTGAAAGGAACCCAGTTACTGGAGGGTGGAAGTCAGAGATTGCAAGATGCACATCGTGTTGCGTTGGAGACGGAAGACCAGGGCGCGGATATCCTGAGGGATTTGAGAAGACAGAGAGAGCAGATTGAGAACTCTAGGAATACCGTGAGTTGATTTTCTGTATTCTTTTTTCTATCTGGGTGAATATTTAACTGATGTTTTCTTCTTAGTTGCAAACAGCAGACAGCGCTATTGACCGTGCGTCTGGAACACTGAAGAGGATGATCCGACGGTACGTAACCCTCGGTCTCCCACATTACCTCCCAATCAAATTTACCCATAGCTTTATCTAATCTCTCTCACTCAACAGGATGTACCAACAGCGTGCAGTCACAGCAGCAATTATTATCGTCCTCATTGTCCTCATCGTCGTCATCCTCTGGTTTAAGCTCTCTTAGTACAATTGCCCCCTTCATCCCGTTACAAGTTCCACTGGGCATTTTAATTTTTGTTAAATTTGTTTTTTTTACCCTTTAAATTCTTATTATTACGCAACTGGATACCATACCGCCACCGGACTCGCTTCTCTCCTTATTATACATTTATACGTCCGTTCCCTCCTTCGAACTTATATTCCTACAGTGTACCATTCTTTCGTTTTCGTTTTCCTTGCTATCAATACAGGTTACAGTACTCTTCACGTCTTCCTATCTTCTAACGTCCTAAGTTTGCAACGTTTGAACGTAATAGTCCGCCTCGTCGTTTGACATAAGATCGCTCAAAACGCCTTCTACAACTGCCTTCGTGTGATATACCTATTACCACATGGAGCGCGAGATAAAAATCAATAAGAATTGGACGCTCAGAGTGACATATATGAATGCATCTGCTTAGGTTGCATTTGTTTCTCAAGGGTTATAAATACTGTAATCCACACTATCAAAAGCAGATATCATCCCTTGCCTTGCCCCTCCTTACAATCATGTTGACTAAGGGACAAACTCATTGGGCCGGCTGAGAGAAGTAGGGAATGAGTAGAGAGAGTTCATGAGATGAAGTCAATTAATAGCTTGTGCATAATCAGGCACCCTTACTAATTGATCATTGTAGGCCGGAGTTCTCAATGCATTAGAGTGCTGGACTACTTGCAAAACACTTTATCTTCAATATATACAATCTCGGGGTCATCTGATTTAGATTGCTCAAACCTACTTATTTTGCACAACTCCTTCACCTGCCTCTTGAACCTTATCCCGGTTGGCTGGTAGGATAATAGGTTAAAGCTGGTGCCTTACACTGAGATTGCACATTTTACTTTATGCATACTTGCTTTTGTAAGAAATCAATTTTTTAGTCCTACAATGTGTTTCATCCTAATCACTAGTTACTAAAGAAACTTTCAAACAGGGGCCATGTTTGCACATTGCACCATGAGAAACTGGCTTGGCAAGTTGCGTCGATGTGAATATATGGACCGTGCAAGTAATAGCAGTACCTGAATACACAGACAGCTACCCTATCAACGGCTCACACAAAGCAGAGTTCACCGGGATGTCAGCTCCAAAAAGGAGAAACTTGTCCTCAGGATCTTTCTCAGAAGACGATCAGAAAGAAATGACTCGGAAGCGTGCAGAGCTCCAGCTTTTGCAAGAAGAAGCCGAAGTAGCAATAGGGAAACTGGAACGGATCCGTGGATCTTTCAACGAAGCTTACAATGTACTTGATCTTGTCAGGATTAAACTTCCAACTGTACTGGAACGATTCGAGTTGGATCAGAAGCTGTCAGATTTCCAGCGTTCATTCAACTTACAAACAATTGAAATCTCTGCCGTTAGAATTCTTATACAGAACATAATATGTCATTGGTCAAACTTAACAGCTCAAGATGTATCTGCTATTCTTGAATCAACAGGCAGAGCAATGCATATACTTTACAACATCTTGGAGTTATTCTCTGTCACAGGTCCTTTCAGAACTTTCTCTCCAGCTCTGAATTCTCTAAAATCTAGACTTGAACGTGTAGGATACCGAGTTTATTCTGTGTCAGCAGGTATGAAAGAACTAAAAGAAGCAAAGAAAGACTTGAGAAATATCAAGGAATCAGCAAACAGTACAAAGCTCACATTTGAGAATAACTTACAGAACTATAAGAAGTATAAAACTTGGAACAATGAATTTACCAGCTGTCTAAATCAATGGGCCTAAAGACACTCATAATTCTTTGAAGATACTGGCTGATATATGGCATATGAGGGTCAAAGCACTGAGAGAACCAATTTAATTATAAACAGCAATTTACTTTGTCTTGATCTTAGATAATAAAAAGTTGCTAAAAATATTTAAAATCCCAAACATGTTATGATTATATTTTGATTCTGAACATCTGGTCCTAATACATTTATACTTTTCTATTTTAAAAATGCCAATGTATTAAAATGATTTAAACTTGTGTTCTCAAGACTTCTCAAGTTTCAGGTTTGTTGAAGCATGAAATACTATTAGAGATAGCAACATATTCTTCCAATACCGGGTCTTGTGCTTGACAGATTTGCTATTACAGTAGTAGATAATGAAACTTAGGGATGATGTAGAGTTTACACCATTTTTCCCACTTGTGAGACGTATACAATTAAAAACCAAGACTCAGGACCACAAGGCTAGAAATTATACAGTTACATATTTGTAAAATATCAGTCATGAAACGTACATTAACACCATGTTAATAAAGCCAGAGGACTCCAAGCGAATGTGTGGATACAGTCAGTCACACAAAGTAAGAACTACAACTTCATCCTGAAAGACTGCCAATTGATCAATTGTAAGAATCAGAGATAATTCTCGCTGCACAGCCATAGGTGAAGGAGAGCCTTTCTGTCTGTAACAATACTATCTACTCTGTCTAATGCAAGGGTGTAGTCCAGGAGAACTTGTGTCTTAAGCATAAATCAGTGCACCTCTGCTCGAGTTTTCTCAGACTTGTTAATGAAGTCTGTAGTTCAAGCATCAATCTGACTACAGCAGTTGTAATCATTTTGTGCTGTATTTGAGAACACATATAAGCATTGTTTATTTTACTCTGAATGAAATCGAGTCGTTTATTAACATTTGCCTTGGCCGCTATTCATTCCTGTGGAACAAGAACAGGACCTATAAACTTGTATATTGAATCCTTAGGCTTCAATCCCTGGATTTTTGAAAAATTACAGAACGAAACGATAGATCAAGATTGTTCATGCCTATTTATTTTGCACAACCATTTCACAGGGCCCTTGGCACTTCGGCCTGGTTGGTTAGTAGGATAATAGGCCGAAGCTAGCATCTTACGCCCCAGTGCATACTTTGATTATTATGCATACAATTATATAAGAAATTTGGTTTTAATTCCTACTATGCGAGCTTTATCCTGCCTACTAGTTTCATCAACTGAACAAGCTTTCAAACAGAGGTCACCTTTGCACATTGCGCTTCAGAGCATGGCAAATTATGACTGTCTATAAGGGTCACGGATGTAAACTTTTAAGTGCATTACACACAGACAGTCACCACTCGGCGCTCGCACAAAGCAGAGCTCACCAGGATGCCAGTTAGAAAAAGACAAGCTGTGTCTACAGGATTGTCCTCAGAGGACAATCAGAGCGAGAGAAAGCATGCAGAGCTCCAATCTCTGCGAGGAGAAGCCGCAGAAGCCGCAGCAGCAGTAAGAGATCTAGAACGGGTTCGTGGATCTTACAGTAACGCATATGGGGCACTCGATCTCGTCAAAAGAAGCCTTCCGAACGTGCCAGAGCGAGGTCACTCGGCGAATCAGAGGCTGTCGAATTTCAAGCGTACATTCGTTCCGCAAACAGTTGAAAACCCTCAAGTTATAACTTTCATACAGAACATAGAATCACTTTGGCTAAAATTTACAGCTCAAGAACTGGCTCAGATTACTTATGCCACGAACAGAGCAATGAATATACTTCACGAGGTTTTGGGTTTGTTTACTGAACACGGTCGTTATAGAACTTTCTTTCCAGAACTGAACCCTCTAAAGTCAAGCCTTCAATCTGTACAAACAAAAATTTATTCTGTGTCAGCAAATATAGATGATCTAGAACATGTAAAACTAGAGTTGAACGATATCACACGAACAGCAATTAGTAAAAAGAACACCTTTGAGAATGACTTACAAAATCATGAGAAGTATGAAACTTGGAACAATGAGTTTAGTGCTTGGCTAGCAGTACCAGCAAACTTGCAGAACATTAGAAAGTCATAAAGTCTTTGAAGATGTGAACTGATATAAAATATATTGGGTTCAAAGCATTTAGAAAACAAAGATAGATACAAACAGCACTTTACTTTGTCCTAATCTAAGATAATATAAATGTTGCTGAAGCATGAATCCTTCTTAAGAATCGTCTCGAAGTTCGGGTTAGTTGAACCATGAAACGACCAAACTGCAACGCCAGAAATGATATTGTTACATATTTGTAATATACCAGCAATAAAACTTGAATCAATGCTACAGTTATTGTGTAGGTAAGTATGCAGAAAGCGGTGAAATACAGTGCATTGTAACCTATGTGTCTTCTCTTGCTTGGTTGTAAGTGACTTCAAGCGAATATATCGATTACGGACAGCATATAATCAACAACATCAAAGCCATAACTTCATTTTGAAATCTTGTCGACTCGGTCAATCGGAAGGGTTCACTGTGCAGGTATAGGTGCAGGAGAGCCTTTCTGTTGCAAGGCTGTCTGTTGTAATTCGACAATCTGTCCAATGCAAGTCCTTAGCCAAGGAGAATGGGTCTCTGATATAAAGAATAAATAGCACACCTCCGCTCGTGCTTTCTCAGATTTCTCGGTAATGTCTTTTATTTGCGCTTCAATTCGTTTGCTATGGTCATAAAAAATCAGTTTGTGTTGCAATCGAGAATGCATATACACGACGTACATTTCACTCCGAATGAAGTCCAGTCGTTTGTCAACATTTGCCTTAGCCTCCGCTTGCTCTTGTGGGACAAGAACAGGGCCCATAAGCTTGTAGACCGTATTCTCGGGCTTCAGTCCCCCAAATTCCTAACAAATTGCCGAATGAAACGATCGTCACGGAGTTCATTAGCCGAGGAGTCTACAAACAACAATTTATTGCTCTTACCTTCTTGACTTCACTGGTTTCTGTTAATTGTGCTTCACGACGCTGACTAGCTTCGACTGCTGCGGAGAGCTCTGCTTGAAGCTTTTGGTATACTGTAGAGGCTGCTTGAAGACGAGTGTCGACAGACATGGTGGTTAAACGCGAAAATGCGAATCCGGATGGATCTTAGGACGGCCGTTAGCGAGTAGCGAACTCCACAAAGCTTGAAAATGCCACCCGTCGGCGACTTGCTCTCACCCTCTTTCTCACCTCTCACTACTACACTTCAACGGCTGAGCTGAGTCTCGTTGACGGCCCACTGCTTGTCTGAGTCGTTCTTTGGAACTGAAACGGTCAAAAGCGGAGAAAAAACGACAAAGATGGCATCAATGCTTCGAGCGTACAAGTCAGCATTTTCCTTCCGTCCCTTATAAATTTCTCTCAATTCTCAACAAAAATACTTTCAGCGCACTTCTCCAACGACGTCCAATGGCCACACAATGTGCCACTGCGGCAGTTTTGTTTGGTGCAGGCGACGTGATTGCACAACAAGCAATCGAGGGGAAGGGTCGCGACCATGACGTGCGTTTTCTTTACCACATTAACACCTTTATTGTCTCATACTCGCGAGCTTATTCTTATATTTAATTTCAAATAGTTTGCACGAACGGCACGCATCACGTTCTATGGTGGCGCGCTTTTCGGGCCAATCATGACAAAGTGGTACCAAGCATTGAACAGATTGCAGTTCGCGAGTCCAGTAAAGGCGGTTGTCTATCGTGTACGTGCTTCTTCAACAGTTCGAGCACGCCGTTTGAATGCTGGAGCTAATAAAGGTGTGTATCTAGGTGTGGCTTGATCAAGCCGTACTCACACCTGGTAAGTCACTTCCATACGATTGTTACGGCAAACTCTGAAGCATTAATTGCGTTTCTTTTTTCATCCTTTAGCCGCCGTTGTTTTCTTCTTTTCGTCAATGACTTTCCTCGAGGGCAAGGGCATCTCCGAAGCCACCCGGCGCGTCGAGACTGTACGCAGGGTCCATTTTATTATTCAATACAAATAGATTGATATGCTGCTTTGAACAGGCATACGTCCCGACACTACTGCGTAACTGGGGAGTCTTCGTTCCCGCGCAAATCATCAACTTCTCACTCGTGCCAACGCACATGCGCTTCGTCTTCGTCGGTGTCGTTTCGCTTTTCTGGAGTACGTGTTTTAAAGTCTACTTTCTTGCGTACCGCTATTTCACCCTGTTTTACGGTCACTTATTGATAACAAAAATTTCTCCTTACAGATACATACCTAAGCTACGCGAATACCCAAGCCCAAAAGGCGCTTCTTGCTAAGTCAATCACTTTCCCGACTGATACGTCGGGTATAGAGGACATCAAGGAGGAGGACCTCAAAAAAGAAGTCAAACCCACATAGTCCACTACAAGTTTTTACGGAGATCAATGCCCCCTTAGCCGTTGACGATACCGTAGTAGAGTAACGGGGCGACACCTTGCATATCACCTCGTTTAGGATACACGAGCATGGACGACAAGTGGAGCGTCACCATCCAGGACAATTATCCATTCACGCTGTATCTATTGACATAGAACTATCGATCCGACTCCAATAGACTTCACAGATTTCAGGCGTCTTTCTGCAACGCCTCGAGGGATACACAGGAGACCTGTGTTTATGATTAAAATCACTTTTCGGTGTTGCGCCTCGACCCGATCCTGTGAGCCTCTCGTTGCTGAATCCCTCCTGGAACTAGAATGCTTGCTTGTCTTTTTACCTTCCAGTGAATCTCCTGGATGTCTTTCCTTCCATAAAAGTACAGGTTTCTTCAACTCATCATCGAAGGCTTGTAAGGCCTGTCTAATCCTTTCGATCTTAATCGGTTCAGCTTTGAGCAAATCAGCCTTTGCGTCTAGGCTCTTCAATTTACTTAGTAATTCATTCAGGAACTCTGGACTTGTGCAATCTTTCCTGTTGTCGTCCGCAAACAGGGACAACTTGGATTCTACCTTCCGGAACACTTTAAAAAGTTTAACAACGTTGTTATCAAAACGCTTCCAGATACGCCGGTAAGCATGGTCATGCAAGACTTCATCAAGGGCGACTGTAGCGGATAATAGTGACCACATTGATTTCTGGACATCATCCCATTCTTCCTTTTCAGCAAATAACCGGATGCACTCAAAGTAGTTTCTGATTCTGTTGTCGTTCAAAGCAGCCTGACGATCTCGTTCATCTGGGGCATTTTTGTTGACACTGTCTACAGTATTATGTCCCAATACGAATGTTTCGTAGAAACTGGATATTTCTTTTTCCATCTTCTCCTTGATCAGAGATTCAAATATGCCTAGTGTCCTGCGTCCACAGAACGCAAATGGATCTGTTCTGCTGGAATCTTCCAAGGCATAGGCTCGTATTAGGATTTCCAGGTTATTTTCTGATTGTAAAAGACGGTCCGCAGCTGTACAAAGGGTTGATTGAGCGCATTCGCACCAACCTAATGTCCGAAACTCGAGCCAGTTTATTTTCTTCTCTATTTTTTCCTTTTCATTATGGAGACTCTCTAAAGTAACAGGATACTGATCAACTTGAGCTCCTTGTCGCGTTCGTCTTTATGTTCGTGAGGTTGTGGCGAGGACTCTGCTCTCCGTTGTCTCTACGTTTTAGAGTGAGTGCCCCCATGCTGCCTTTCACTCAGTGTCTCCTGTCCTTTATCCTTTCGTGTCATGTCGAAATGGAACTATGGTCTGTAAAACTGCAATGCTTGGCTTGGGTCGAGGTTTGGATGTAAGTCGACAGAGTTGAAAAGAGCTCTGTGTGCTGAACACACTTACAGCTGTGAAAGTGAAGTTGCAAAATTCCTCAAGTTTGCCCTGAAGGAAAGGGTGAAAATGCTTTCGTGACGCTGACTTGGCACTATGCATTGCATGGCTCGAGAATCTCAAGCAAAGCTAACAGACGATTCAAGTACAGGAGTGGCCTGGATGGGAGCACAGCAGTCCTCAATCTCGATGAGAAACAGGCAAACAATCTTTCATGAAGCCAACCTGGTAGGGTGCTTTGGATATTTGTTGAATGGAAGGCAAAGCTATCAGACAATTCCTGAACAGAGGTAGCAGAATATGCTAAGCACTGTCCTACTGGTACTGGTATAACTCCTGTGCAACATTGGAGAAAGACAGAGTGTCAATATCATTAGGTAAACTGACAGTGAATACTAATATCTGTGTATAAAATATATTGAATATACCTAGCGGACTACTACTGTAAGCTACCCTGACCAAGAGACACCCGTCATCAGTAAATATAAACGAGAAAGAAAGAAAAATGAATTCGGGTCTAAAGGAAAAGAGGGACAGATAACAATATGGAGTAAGTACAGGAATACTGTCAGTATTTGTCCATTGATCCGTACTTATCGACATAGATCCCTTAATTCAACTCTAATATATCTTCTATGAATCTAACCGGTCTTTTTGCATGTAATAAAAAAAACATTGTTTTGGCGGATACAGCTTGTACAAATCCTATGATATGATCAAAGACGCTTTCCACTGTCACATTTGACTTACTCCTGTCGGGTTGTCGTTGCTGAATCCCTTCTCGACTCCGAGTTCTCGCGTCTCTTCGGGTTCTCCAGAGACTCTTCTGGATGTCTCGCCCTCCATAAAAGTGCTGGTTTCCTCAACTCAATATCGAATTCTTCAAGCTGCTTCTCAAGTTCAACATTCTCTCTCCTTTCCTGTATTATTTGATCAGCCTTTACGCTTAAGCTTTTCAATTCGCTCATTATTTGGTCTAAAGACTTCACACTTTTTGCGTTAGCCTTCATCTTGCCTTTCAGAATACGGGATGACTCGGGTTTTATTTTGTAGAACCATTTAGAAAGTCGGGAAACTTCGGTATCAGAGTCCCAGACTGACAAGAAAGAAGGGTTGCCTAAGACGTTTTTAAGAGTATCTACAGCAGACTTCAATGCTTCCAATGATTTTTTGAGACCGACCCAGTCTTTATTAGTTCCAAATGTCCAGATATGTTCAAAGCAGCTTCTAATTCTCTTGTCCTTCAAAGCACTCTGATGACGCCGATTTCCTCGGAGCCTAATGCGGGCATTGTATGCAGGATTGCTTCCCAAAATAAAAGTGCGATGAAACTTAGGTATTTGACCTTCCACCTGCTCTTCTAAACGAGATCTTAGTACTACTAGCGTCCCATGTCCAATTCCACTGAACGGAGACTGTTTCTGTGCAACACAATTCCCCGCCTGACTCTCTTTCTCAACTTGCCCAAGTGACTCATGGATACCTATTAGGGCCTGCAGCTCTTCGTCTGAAGGGAGACACTCCCTGGCATCACAAAGCACAGAACAAGCACTTTCACACCAAGCCGACGTCTGAGATTCTAGCTGACCTAACTTCTTCTTTGTTTCATCGTAATTACTCTCGAAGGTCCTGTGTCGCCGGTTAAGGTCCTCTTCAATTTCTTTATGCTTGTGAGGATGCAGTAAGAACTCCAGTCTGGATGGTTTTTGCGATTTTGAGTCACTTTCCTTAGGTTCATTTCCACTTGGTACTGCTTGATCCATCCGTCTCACATTTAGACGCGTAAAACAAAACTGCCGACTGTAGTGCTGGACTTGGTTGAGGTTAGAGTGTAAGTCGGTGGCATCAATACGGGCTCTGTGTGTCGAATGTACTTTATTCCTGTGAGTGTGAAACTGCAAAATTCTTCAACTTTGCGCTGCACTGAAGAAAAATGCAAATATGCTTAACAACACCAATCTAGCAGTGTGCATTGCTTGGTTCAAGAATATCTCGCAAAGCTAGCAGCGAATCAAGTACAGGAGTAAGCCGAGCGCCTTACAGGGAGCATGGCATTATCCTTGAACTTTGTGTCAGTCTATCTGGAGGAACGGGAAATTAAATTCACATGGAGCTAATCTCGGAATGTGCATTGCATAGTGGCACAGAATAGAGTGCAAAGGTCTTTGCAAATCCATCGCGAAGCAATGAGAGATTACATCACATGACCATGACGTCACATGCACGAGTCAATGTAACTTTCGTGCCGCCGCTACAACCAGCTGACAACAGCATCTAGAGATATTCATGCTTGGATTAAATCTATAGGATATCCGTAGTGCGCTATTAACTCTAGCTGCCCATAAGAAACGTCTCCTACTGTCAATGAAAATTTAAAGAGAAAAAAGGAATACTAAGCTGAAGTACAAAGGGTGGAAGAAAGGAGTCATCATGTCCAGTGAGTATAGCAACATCTATTCGCTCTTTATCTACTGACTTAGCGCCTTAAATTCAACTTCAACGGGTTTTATAGACTTCGTGAGTTTTTCTGTATCGTGGTATTGTGAAAAGACGCGTCTCAAGAGAGATATGTTGTTAAAGCAAGCACGGTACAGTTAGCGACGCTGTTATGTTTCCCTTGTTTTTATCGGCATCTCTTCACTGAGTCCCTTCTGGAACCTGGGTGCTTGCTTATCTTAGGATTCTCTGAAGACGCTTCTGGATGTCTCTCCTGCCATGTAAGTAGAGGTTTCTTCAACGCATTATCAAATTCTTTAAGTTCTCCATCGAGAGTAGCACTCTCTTTCTCTCTCTGTGTAAACCGAACAATCTTTGCGTTTAGGCTTTCCAATTCACTCATCACTTTATTCAAGGACTCCATACTCGTGTTGCTATCTTGGCCTCTGCCCTCTAGAAACTGGGACGACTCGGATTTAATTTTGCGGAGTTCTTCGGTAAGTTCGGAAACTGTAGTATCGACAACTTTCCAGTAAGAAGGGTGGTTCAAGATTTTCGCCAGAGAATTCATAGCTCTCTCTAGTGCTTCCCGTGATTGCTTGATTCCGTTCCAGTCTTCCTTTTTCACAAAAAGAATGGTACCCTTAAATAGATTTTTAATTCGATCGTCTTCCAAGGCACTTTGATGACACTGTTCATCTGGTACCTTCTTACAGACACTGTGTGCGGTTTCGTTCTCCACAACAAAGGTGTAATTGAAACTAGACAGTTGGTCTTTCAACATCTCTTCAAGATATATTTTGAAAGATCTTAATTCTCCCATTGTCTTGTATTCGCCGTATGGAAATCGATCAGGTACAACATAATCCTCTGCCCTACCCTCTTTCTCATGTTGCGTAATCAGGTTGCAGGTTTCTATGATAAGTTCCAGATCGTCCTCTGAAGGGAGGCATTCTCTGGCTTTAAGAAGTGTGAAATACGTTGATCTGTACCAATCCGAGGTCCGAGATTGTAGCTGGTTAAGCTTCTTTTCTGCTTCATTGTAAAGACTCTTGCAGGTGGCACGGTTCTGATCAAGTTTCTTTTCAAGTTCCCTTTGTTTGTGAAAATGCAGTAAGCCTTCTATTCTCGACACTTTTTGCGACTTAGAGTCGTTACTCTTGCGCCGATCTCCACTTGATGCCGCTTCGTTCTTCTGTTTCATGTTAAAATAGTGTAAGTACAAACTGTGGTTTTTATTAGGTGCTGTACTTGATTTGGTTCGAGGTTAAGGGTGAGGCGGAGGGGTCAGGATGGCCCTGTGCATTGAACACATTATATACCGGCAAAAATGAAGCTGCAAAGTTGATCAACTTTGCACCGAAGAAGCGAGCAAACATGCTTTCGTGAAGCCAACTAGTAATGTGCTTTGCACTGGTTGCTGAATGAAAGCAAGGCTGCTATCAGACGATCCCTGTACAGAAAGAAGTAAGGATATATGCTGGATCGTCCCAAATGAGTCTAATGGCCCTTACATCACATTGAAGAAATATACAAGGTGTTGAACTCATTTGCACACCATGTTCCAAACGATTGACACAGCAAAGTCCGACGATATCCGTGTATCGAATCTACAGAGTTTCCACAGCGGACTATTACTTCCAGCTGTCCTAAACAGAAGAAATACATCATCAATAAAAACTCGAAGAACAAAAGGTACAAAGTGAAGCACAAGAAGAAAGAAGAACAGAGTAATAATGTCGAGTAAGTACGATATTGCATGATACAACGAGAATTTCAAATCAAACAAGGTCAATAAACGAATACAGCAGAATGAACATGATAGCAAAGTCATCACTTATTGAGATCATTACGATTGTTGTTGCCATTGCCGTGATGATTATTATGTATCCCAAGTCTTCTGAACAAGTTCACCCATGCGTTCTCAAAGCGATGCCCTCGTGCATGTCCGTGACCGCTACTGTTGCTATCATGATTGCTGCCCCCTTGCTGTTGGTTAGAGAGGTCGAATGAACCTGGTATCGCAAGTCGTTCTTCTTCTGGAGTGAACGGTCGTTCTGGCTGTTGAGGTTTATCATATCCGATTTTACGCTGTGACTCGGGTTTCTCTGGTACTGGAGGTGACGACGAGGAAGGCTGAGGAGATTGAGAAGATTCAGGGGCTTCTGGCATTGCATGTACGGCTCCAGGGTGTGATGCCTCATCTTCTCGTTGGAGGGCATGCCCCTCAGGTTCGGATTTGGTGTCTGGAGTCTCGGAGCTTTCTTCTGCTCTTTTGTTCCCTCCAACTTGTTCATCAGGCGGTGGATGAACAAGCACGTTATCGTTCTTCTCGTCCTTTCCATCAGTTGAGAGCCTCCTCACAGGTTCCTGTGAAGCATCTGATCCGACACCAAGATTCTCACGGTTCTCAGCAGGTAAATCACGCTTCAGGCTTTTCGGCGTGGATGGTCTCACAGGCGTTCGCCATCCAGCGCTCTCATTTTCACTGCGCTCCCCTTCACTGATTTCCGATCCTGCGCGTGCAAGTCGCTCTCGCTGCGAACGATCGGAACCTGCACGACGTAGACGGCCCACAGCAATTGCACTATTAATTGCAGAGCGCCATCTGGACTTCGGGTTGAAGTTCTCGCGCAATCCGACGAGATCGTGCTCTTCTAATGGTGCCTTCTGTGTCAACCACTACAGCAAAATCAATCTTTAATAAGAAAAAAATTGTATAGCACACCAGAAAGAGAACGAAGAGAACGCACGGGATGATAAAGCGCCTCTTCTGCCGTTAATCGTGCGGCAGGATCCGCGACGACTAGAGCACTAATGAAGTTCTTCGCCAATGGAGAGATGTTCTTCCAATATCGTTCATGGAAGGTGATCTTGCATTCCTCCGTCTCGCGGATGAGTTCTGCGGGGTCTTCTGAACGGAAGGGAGAGTACCCGCACAGCATGACGTAGGTGATTATTCTGCATCCGAGAGTATTCAATTTTCTGGTGGTGACGCAAGGTAAAAAGTAGAAACCGACCCTGTTGACCAAATATCTACTTTCTTCGAATGTCCACTTTTATTAAGAACTTCGGGTGCAACATAACCAAATGAGCCTGCTACAGAAAACAGTTGCTCATCCGACTTGTGCAAGTGTTTGGCACTATAGTGACATCATAGGTAGGTAGGAAACCAAATTCATGAATAGAAACACGTACATGCCGAAGTCGGCGATGACAATGTCCGAATCAAGTGCTTTAGAGCGATAAAGGATATTTTCCGGCCTAAACTAATTAAATTTCTGGCAGTGGCGAGAAAGAAAGGGAGGACTCACTTCAAGTCACGATGTACAATGTCATGATCGTGCAGATACTTTACGCCACTTAGTATTGACCTAACAAAAAGTAAGCATTTCATGACACAACATTAACAGTCTAATCCAAGTCACCGCACGACTAATATCGCATCAGCTTCCGTGAATTTGCCCCGCTGGCATATCCGTTCGAATAATTCTCCTCCAACGGCGAGTTCGAATGACAGATAGTATTTCTCCCGAGACTCAAACCACTCATAAAATTTGACCTGAGAAAAGAATAACGGCCATTAATTACGAGGGGCGGCAAGCCAAGTTGGGTAACTTACGATGTTCGGGTGGTCTAGTCCTCTTAATACTTCCATTTCCCCCCATACAGCCTCGTCGTTTCCCTTTACTTTTTTCTTTGGAATGACTTTCAGTGCGACATCTTTCGTGATGCCACTGGATTCACGCGATGAAGCGGAAGCTGGTCGCGAAATGCCACTGACCCCGGCGACAGAAGAGCTTGACGATGAAGTACCGGAGGGTGCAATACCTTGTTTAGAGGCTCCGCGATCTGCAACCAGAGCCTGTGACTTGGGTACGTGCCATGTTGCACGCTACAATAAGGTTCCTGTTGTCAGGTCGCAGGTTCCGTACGGTCGGGACGAGCAACTTACAATGACCTTTCCAAACGTTCCTTTACCCAGGACTTCGTGGAACTCGTAGTTTTTCTTCTTTACGAACGACGCGGGCTGGATAAGAAGCGGCGACTCTCCGAGAGTGTATTTCAAGTTGACCATAGTTGTACTTCTGGTGAAGATATCCCGGTCTCAGAGGACGCAATGGACCTGTGTGCGCTACGGGCAACCAAAATGCACAAGCCCTAGCAACACAATGATGGGTTATAATTATCATGAAACAGGCATACTCTTCTTACCGAGAACACGCGCTGTGGGTAGAAACACAAGAAGGAAAGGATGAGAGACAGTGCGAAAGCAGGAGACGATGCAGCGTGACGTATTGTCACGTGAGGACTCTAACTCCAAGAACTCGCGCAATTAATAATGATTGAATTAACTTTTTTCTTTTACCTTTTTTCTCCTGAAACTTGTGCTTTGTGGCAACCTCATCTTTCTTCTGGCACGGGTCGCAGTATCCGTATGCCACCCGGACTCAGTGGTGTTTCTGTCGTATGTCCGCCTGGTGACCACGGCTTTCGTTAATACCTTAAAGTTACTCTCTTGGATACTGTTGTGCATGGCGTCACTGTATGTGAGCCTGTCGTTGTATGTGAGCCTCGTACTCACGCATCGTGGCCCAGTTCCATTGGAGCGTCTCGTACTCGAATCTCGGCCAATTCAAAACCGTCCCTTGTTGATTTGTTCTCCTCTGTGTCCTTTCAAGCGCGGGACGCCGATGGCAACTGTACCAGACACTCGAGTTAACCCTGTTCCTAGTTCAAGTTGAGCAGCTCTCACGGGTTGAATCCTTATTCTCCTCCGTCTCCTTCAAGAGTGGGGTGCCAAGAGTAACTATAACAGGGGCTCGCATGAACCCCATTCCTGGTCAAAGTTGACGAGCTCAAACAGGTTGAGTCCGACGCAAAAAAGAGGTTTGAGGCGAAGTTCTTGAATTGGTGTTTCGACATGCAACACTGTCCGCGTACACGACTCATGCCAAGAGCCTCTCTGTGGAGACGCACTCAAGATCTTTACCGCGCCGACGTTAAATACTGCAACCTTGGCTCTAATTCAACCTGTTGCAATTGCAAAATTATGCTTAAGCTCAACCAAACTACACGCAGTGCTTTCTGGACTGAATTGATCGCTTGCAGCCGTTTCCTTCTTTCTTCTGTCAAGAATCTACTCAAGGTACGAATCTTTGACATTTCCTTGAACGACTGTATGACGGAAATGACATTTGCAACGGCTCCGACGGAGTTTCGGGACTCCTAATGTTCGAGAAGGAAACTTTCATTCGGTTCAATTGTGCTACAGATTAGATGATGTGTCTTGGCAGGGATTAAAGCAGCCTGGAATAATCATAAATCAACTCTGCACAGCGTTTCGCCACGTCTTCGCCGTCGAGTATGCCCAGACACTGAACTCAAAATGAACTTTCGCATCCAGACTTCGTGTATTTGAAGTAGCCCTGTTTCCGACTCTTCTATAACGAAGGACAACTATTCTCTAGATCCCACAGTCAGGAAACCCAGTCGATAATCGCAAAGTCTGGAGTGCTCCGTTGGACGGCATTTGCCGAGTGCATTAAAAATATCCTACCTTCCTTCGCGTTATCGAAGCTGGTGCCACTCGGATTGTTCGACAATTTGACAATGCATAACCTGAATTCACACTTAAACCAACTTCAACCAGCCACAACAAATGTTGGGAACGAAAGTCAGCCCCCATAGTTCCACTGTGAAGAGAACAACGATATGTTGCTGTTTCTTTATGCCAATGTGTTTTCCAAGGTTCGGGGTAGGTCTAATCCACCAAACCTACCGCAGGTTCGCGAAGAAAGGTTTAAAGAAGACGAAATGAATATCGAAATAGTTCTGAAGCTCTTTTCGGAGTCCTTCGCGATCTACATAAGTAAGTCTTCAGACTTCTCTGTCCATTCAAATTCCGGAATGTTGTTCTGGAGCTCCGGTATCTTTATTGCTTTGTTTAGACATGAGATCCTGTCTCTCTGTTCAGCGCCGCCGTTCTACATACGTGTACAAGTCGGAAGCCCACCATCGGTTGTCGGATGTGCTATACTTCAAGCCAGGAGTGTGCAAAAGCACCGAGTTTATTGTGCATCTAAGTGAGTTTTTTAAGCTGTCTCCGGAAATACTCGACCCAATCTAACGGGAATGTCGACCTCAAATCACCGTCGGAAAACGTATTACCTACTGTGGCTTAGACTAGATATTACGGTGCCAATATCTTCCAGGAAGATTGCCTCGGTTCACTGGTGGGTAAGGGATGACACGCCAGTTACATTTACTGAGATGGATTTACTGGTTTCAGAAGGCTGCATCACAAAGAAGTGCATACTCTCGTCCGCGTAAGCCTTAAACTATTTAGCCATGGTGTCCGCAGGTGCAACTCGAACTGGCTCTCCAATTTCCATTCTTGACGTCGAGGCAAAGATATTCATTTCGGGATAACATTAAAGCGTATCATGACAAGCAACCGCATCTAAGCCGGCCGTCATTTCATCCGCTGGATTTTCCATTGCCTTTGATCAAGTATAGAGCGATCGCTACCCTTGGTGCGATCTCCAACGCTCACCACACACTAATTGAGACCGCGGGAAGTCCAAGTGAAAGCCAATGAGAGCAGTGCATGCCCATGTAACGGGTCTTCTAGTCAGATCGGTGGAACAGCCCCATCCAAACCTCCGTTTCGTACCCTCGAATCATGCTACCTCGCAAGGAAAGAGGGTCTACAAGGACTCAAATTCTCAGGAGGTTCTCGTGACCATCGTGGTATAAGTCCAATATTACTCTCTTGAAAGCACATGGTAGCTTCTCCAAATCATTAATCCCAAGAGGGAGGAACCTGCTGTTGGCTAATACTTGACGCATATAGAACATTGTGCCTCTATCCAATAAGGCTTTAGGACACGGCGCTAGCTATCTATGTTATTTCAAAGCCCCCCTCTTGCACCGTTGTCGATGGGATTGGTTGCCTATGGGCCAATAAGAACTTCGCCGCAGAGCTTATGAGAAACTTACCACTGACTAATGGTGTTAGATAGCCTCTTGAGTGCCTTCGTTCACTTTAAACGCTAACGAAACTTACAAGAGTTGTGACAGAATAATTCAATTGCTCCTTGAGACATGCTAATCAATGTCGGTGTCGATCAGGAACAATTTGAATACGCTAGGCAATGTTTGAATACATTTTGTGTACGACCATGGCTGTGACCCATTGGGTATTGATTGGTTGAGTGAGTACATCCCTTCGGCAACGTTATTTATTTCGCGTTTTTCAAAAGGCTAGTTCCCTTTGTCTTAAGGATTGAGCGCTGATCTGCAACTCCTGCTAAGTGCTTCACCTTGCTTAGTCTCGGACCGCAATCTCCATTTTCTATCAACAATTCACTGGGGATCACTCGTCTTCAACTCGACAGCCCAAACTCAGCTAGACTGTAATGTACATCTACAGGAGGAGAGTTAGAAGGGGGGAAAAAGGATTAAAAATTGGTTCCGTCATTCCGCATGACGTCCCCCCACAAGTTCGTGATGCGATTTCTCGTTTTGTTTACATATCTTGATGCAAAGCGCCTTTGATTTCGGTCATGCCGAGCCGGGAGAACGCTCCGCAGCCGAAGATACGACAGGTCACACACGGCCCCCGAGCGCGTGCGATGTATCGCTTGTTCTTTAGCTGAAGTTACCTGTTATTCGGCGGCGAGTATACGGAGTTGGGGTGTTCTCTACCAAACTCTCTGTCTCGAGAGGGTCTTCAATCAAAGCCAAGTGTCAATGTGACCGCATCCGCGATCGTTCTTCGCGAGTTCGCGCGCCGCTTGTGTGCCTGTCGACGTGGTGTGTAGCCCCAGGTCCCGACCGGTAGTCACCAACAGCCCCAGAGTCACCGAATACCCGTGCGTCTCGCTGTTCCAGATGAAGCTAGCAGAGATTTGAACAAATTGAACCATATCTGCTAGGATGCGCTGGACTATGCTTACTGGCTAGTCGATTGACTGACTGTTAGGAGCGTCATATACGAAATCACGAGAAATCGCCGGGGCCGAGTACATGCGTTTCTTCCCCCGATGGTTTCACATAATTTCATACACAGCGTCTTCCCTCTGCACTGGTGTCTTCCGACGCCTCCAACTTGCCAAGTGTATTCCGATCCTGGAAGATAGATTACTGGATGGCGGAATTTAGGTTGCATATTGTCCCCCATGACATACGTGCTATTTCTTGCGTTTATGCATTGCACTCGGTCTCACGTATCATTGCAGTTTCCAAGTCAAGCAATTTGATATTTATTCTGGGTGTTGCTTTCAGGGCTGTTTGGATGAAATGACGTCTATCTCACGATGAATAACTCCGAATTTGTTTTGCTCCCTCACATTGTTTTATCATTGATGTCGTCGTTTGAACAAATTCGGAACCACTTGTCTTATTCATGTCACTTCGACGGAAGCATATTTCAGAAATCAATCTCGTCGCTAACTTACCAACCGGTTTCAGGTACAAAGCCGCACCATCTCCACCTATATAGCCTCCGACCTTACTCTCCTCCGTGGCTCCTCCGCCGAACCGGGCACCGGACTCGGAACTAGTTTCTTGCCATGATGGTATACCAATGCCCTGAATCCTTGCCATGTGCTATACCGTATGTGTCTGTGTGTTACTCTACGAATGCCGTACAATCCCGGAAATCACTGATATATAGTGTTCACTGGAGTTAGGAGCAAGTGTGAGTGCGCGCCGATCCCGATCTTATCTTCCATTTCAATTCAGTCTCCGGCGAGACGAGGCGTGCTGCTGATTCCACCCAGTTTGATATCCGTATGACCGTTTCTAGACGACCATTATCATATTTAGCACAGATACCGTAACGCAAGGTTGTGTGCTGCGTGTTGTGAAGACGAACGTCGGACGGATGTTTTAGCTTCAAAGATGCGATGTGAGCAGACTGATTGCTCAGATTAAAGTCTGTGTTTACTCATGCATTGCCTTTTTGACTTGTCTGACGATCTGTTGCTCATCCGCGCGCCTTTCGTATGAAAATAAGGTTCATACTGCACGACGGGACATGCTTTTTGGCCTACCCTATTGGCTTTGATGACGTCCGAGGGATGAAAAAAGGATAATCCGGACACGCTTGGCAAAGATCTGAATCTGCGCCTTCCGAGTCGGTCAACTCGTAGTATCCTACTTTCTGTTTCATTGCTTACGCCCAGAGCTGTAGATTTTAAATTCAGGGTGACCATAATGCTGAAGCGGGCAGTGCACGCGCTGTGGACAAAGCTCGACCTTTCGTTGACAAAGTAACACTGCTACAACGTTGTAAATCAGTAGCGAGAACTCCGTCTTCCCGCTCCACATTCTTACTGCACTTCTTTTGCTAACGTTATGTTCCAGGACCTCACTCTCGCCGCTCTCCACACAAGAGAAGCTCTATCACTGAAGACTTCCCGCACGATCATGAAAGGCGTTGAGTCCTGCTGCCTGTGCCTCGCGTCAGTGATCTTCTTAGCTGTTTGGCGCACCATGCTTCTCTCTGAGTCTCTGTAGTCGCAATCAGCTAAATTATACATCGTTAGGAATCGTTAGACGTCATATACAATGCGACTACCCTGCATCCTTCTCTTCTTTTACTCTCTCCACTTTTCTTCTTCACCTACTTATCCGCATCCACCAGAACTTTGATCACTAATGTCAAATAACTCAAGCATGTCTCCTCCTTTGGTTTTACAATTAATCATGCATATATGCGTTCACATTTATTTCGTCGACGCGTTACGTTATGGTATGATGGGGTGTTAATCTGAAGGATAAACTTGATTATTCTTAGTAAGATTCACGATGCCTGTGCTTCGTGCTGTATGCCATTGGCTTGCTTCCATTGGATTGTCTTCTGTCTTCTATCATACATGGAGCATCACTGTCTACTAGAAGTACATTAGTATGACGAAATACAATGTTGATCAAATGTATTAGTTGCCTACAAGTAGAATATAACCTTTGGTTAGTGGGGATCAATAGATCAAAGCATCAATAAGACAATGTAACAAATGTGTTGTATTGTGAATTTGTGATACATATTGGCAAACAAGTGTACACATCCGTATACGCATTCACTCTATGAACACATGTTTAAGTCAATGCGTCAATTGAATTACAGCTCATTTTGTGAAGGATCCTCGCGGTAAAATTCAAACGGACATAAGGACATAAGAAAGGAAACGAAAGAAAACGTGGATACAGAACATGAATTATAATTAATTTAATTAAAATTAAAATTGTCTCAAGTTACTGTATAAGGAGGTCTGGACTGGTCTATCAGAGTAAATTGATCTTTTTTGTATTGAGCAGTGTACGGAGGCATCTTGTCGGGATGTGGTAACAGGCAGATAATGGCAGTGTTAAGTGATGAATGGAACCGAATGAATTGTCACCAGGGGCGCATGACCGTGATGTGAGACGGTGTGAGGCGGGGGCGCACCTGGCGCGCTAGGGCGCGATCGTGGGGAATCAATTAAATTGTTGGAGAGTAAAGAGGCGCGCACTATGACAGGAGAGAAAAGCTTCCGTGTGTTGCTTCTTTTCTTATCCAGTTTCACCTTGACTTGTGTATTTTTTTTCCTCCTGTCAAGCAGCGAAATCTTAGATGTTTCTGTTGCATCCTAGTAGTTTCACCGTTTATCTATTTATTGTTTTGAACAAATAAGTATTGTTCATCAGAAAACAACACAGCAAAACAGCGAAACATCTCACCTCTTGGGAATCACTGTTTTGCAGGTTCCATATGCAAATGGGATTCGATGTGGATTGCGATTGGACTGACTTACAATTACTTTGAAACTCCGCGATGTTTGACCGTAAAATCTGATTTCGGCGTAAGCATTTACTATACTCCATCACACATCATATCTCATTGAGCTGGAATTCCATCAAAGGATAGATACAAGGAAGGTGAAACAAAACAAAACAAGACAAAGACCTATAATTGATAAGAAATCGGAAATGGAGATTGAACGGCGAGAAGACGGACAGGAGGTAGGCATATTGGTTTATGGAAGGAAATGGATAATCTGGGATGATGTATGTACACTGCTTTCCCGATTCTAGTTCCCTGTTTGACCTGTGGCGTTAGGGTTTCTGGTAGCTCTCAATGCCAGACTGCTGGGAACGTAAGCACCATCGCGAACGATCATCATCACCACTGCATCAGGATCACGAGTCCCTTCCTCCCCGCACCCCTTTTCCTCCATATTTGCAAATTAGAAGAGGAACAAAGGGGCTAAGAAGACAGAAGAGGGGAATAGTTGTCGATAGCAATAGGCCACTTGTGTAAGTTACCGTAAGTGGTGGCGTTGTTTGACGATGAGTGATCTGATCTGATTCTTCATTCTGGCGGTGCTCAGATGCTAGTCAGGGATAGTAAAGGTATGCTTATCTGCTATTTCCTCCCGTAGTCTAAAATGTTGATATTAATGATTTGCGCGACTGATCGAGAAAGGGGATCGATTGAACTGAAATCAAACACCCTGACATGATGTACATCGGAAAAACATTAGCAAGAACAGATTCGTGGCCTGCTTTCGGAAAGGCAAGTCGTACCTCGAGCGTCGGTTAGCGTGGTTATGTCGTTTGGCTGCACACTGGACATGCATCTGGTACTCAACTGGTATTAACAACATGATATCACTTTAAAACACATATAGATACATGGAAATGAACGCTGAGAAGCTCGTCGTCAATAACATTAATTACTGCTGCTTCTTCGCTTCTTCGCTGCACTGGTGGTATGTACAGCACGTGTAGTGGTGAAATTGAATTGCATCCAAGGAACGGAGGTCGGTGGACTGAGAAGGTAGGGAGGAGAGGAGAGCAAAGAAGGGGCACGACATGGTGAGGGCGAGGCAAGAAGCTCAAGAAAGTGGGGGTAAGGAAGAAGCAGGGTACGGGGTCCTCTGAGCGATGTCGAGAGTGGTAAGTCGATAGATGGGGACGTGTGAGCGGTTGCACGGTGATGGCCATCCTCCAAGTTTCCGCAAGTGCGGCACGGCGATGGCGGCGACTAGCACTGGCACCTGGACCCGAATTTCTCGGCATCTGCCATTCGTTCGCAGTGGTCTTCTAATCTTCGCCCCCCTTCGCCTTCGCGGAACTGCAGGGGGGGCAGGTGTGAGAAGGGGTGCGAAGCACCGCCGCATTGGAGGGGCAAAAAAAAGTGGCGAAAAAAGACAGCGAAAGAAGGAAAGAAAGGGTGAGCGGTGCGGGTAGGGAAAGAACGAAATAGGAGGAGACGGGAGAAGAGAATCCAGATGACAGTTATTTTTCCTGCAGGCATTTTGTTTCTTTCGCGCGTTGTGTCCGCGAGCGCGCGGGAGAAGAGAAGCGCACGCTGTTGGATAAAAAAGAGTTTGGATGTATTACGGTATGGTGGATTGAGTGGGTGAGTCTGTTTTCTGGATTGGGCGAATCATGATTTCATTTGCGCAGGATGATTTAATTTCTACTTATTCGAGACGGCTGGGTTGGAGTCGCCGTGTGGGGTCGTGGGACGCTCGGGACCAGTAGCTTAGCCAGGGTTTGCTGATTGGAATATTCGAGAAAGGAAGGCAAGGCAGATGGGACTGTCCCTGATCGGAGCCGGAAGATGCCTGGCTGACTGCGACTGCTGACGGCTCTGATGGTCTGGCTGATTGTCGAGAGCCGGGGGAGCGGCTGCACTGGTTTGAGGGACGCGCCCCGTTGGGAACACTCGAACCGAGCCCCGTGTACACCGGCGGGCGTCCGTGACATGTCGATGGAAGCGAGCTTATTCCGGGCAGAACACCATCTCTGTGTCTCGTGTCGTCGCCAGCAACGCAGACCCCGCTCGCAAGCTCAAGCACGGATATGGTTATGTGCACCTCCGCATGAATATGGACAGATCAAGAATTAAGTCTCCGGTCAATCATCACCTGCTCTCAACCCCAGGCCCCTCTTTGCTCCCATCCCCCGTCCGCCAGAGCACGCTGCTGCTTATGGCATCCCTCACCATCTAACTGCTGGGCGATTCCTATCGGGCTCTAACTTTCTTTGTGAATACTGACGAAGCTGCTTCTCTCTGTTCCAAGCACGGATACACAGCAGTATACATCACCTGCATCGGCCGCGGTGTCTCCCAGTCCACTCAACTTTGACGTGCAAAAGATTCCGGAAAGCGAATCGAAGAGGAACTCGAAAGGGACCAACCTGGTACTGCTGACACGCAAAAGCAGGCGAAGCGCCCGGGTTCACGCGCGGGCTTTAAATCCAGCAAGTCTTGACGGCCGTTTACGCTTCCCTTCCCTCTCTGTGCTTTCTTTCCCCCTGAGCAGCTGGGCTCACTCGCTCTGTTCGCCGGCATAGGGTCTATTCTCTCTTCTGCACACGCTAGGCTTAACTCTGAACCAGCGAATCACGGAATAACACTGCCATCTCTCCTCGGCCGTACCCATTCCAGCCCAGCTCATCGCGTCTTCCCCATCTCCTGTATCACTCAAGCCCTACAGGACATCTATATCACCTCGGGTCCACAGTATCTCGCGTACTCTCTTCTTCTCGTCGCCCGTGCGCCTCGTCTCTGCACCCGAACACCAGGGCGAGTACGCGCCTTAAAACGGAAGCTCAGGACGTGTCTCACCAGTTTCCCTTGTCGCGCAGGTCACGCGTTAGCACCGTCCTCTCCGCATTCGCCCCTTGCCCCCATTATTCCCCGCGTGCTCGTGTTGTCGCTCGTGTTCCGCAGCGCGTCTGCTCGCAAATCGGTCTCGCGTCGTGTCTTTTTGGCCGAAGAGGCGTTCCTGAGTGAGAATAACATAGCATACACTCACTGACCTTGCGCCATCGCCCACGCTGGCGCTCCACCTCCTACCCCTTGAACGCGCTCCTCTTCCCTCACGCTCCCCTCCCCCCCTTTCCTCCTTTAACTCGTTTCCAAATTTTTCACCTTTTTCACCTCTTTCACCTTTCAATACCAACACGAATTCCCCTCGCTTCGACCAATCGTTGGGAGGTACTAACATCACAACTACGGGAACAGTAGGAACAGCTCCGGGATCGGAGCCGGGCCAACAACCGCACGCACAATCGCACATGACCACTTCGCCTGTCCGTGCCGCTCGACACGGGAACGGCAACGGAAACAGCAATCAAATGGGGTCTAGCTCGTATGGATATCGCGAGAGGGAGCCGTCGCCCGGAAAGGGAAATGCGCATGACGGCGAGCATGACAATGATCATGAGATGGGACATGGGGAGGAGCATCATGATGTCGATATTGATGACCAGGAGGATGCGGACATGGGTATGTCGATTTTTTCTAATTTATCTCGCTCTTGGTGTCTTGTTTCTTGAAGTTCTGACTTTGTGGTTTGCATCTCATCCATTTACCTTGCATTCTTCCGCAAATACTCGAAATGGGCACTCAAACTTCATGGACAAACAGAAGGAGACGCCGCGCTCATTGCTCAGACACTGAACGCAGATGGTACGCCGAAGCGACCGATGAACGCGTTTATGATTTTCGCACGCCGGCGGCGTCCGCAGGTGAGCGCAGCAAACCAGATGATGCGCACGGGTGAGATTAGCAAGATTTTAAGTCGAGAGTGGGGAGGGATGGCAATGGTGAGTCTGAAACTTTGTAAAGAGTTATGGAATTTATTTCTTGGATATTTCGCGATCGCCCCCTTTAACGCCTCATTTTAAGGGTGCAATATTCTCTTCGTGATGGGTTGCGTAAATGCCTTCCGTATTATTTCACTTCTGGCATACATTTTTCTGGCTAGTGTTCTGATTGTCTTGACTAACTTCGTTCATTTTTCTTAAAATAGAGTGAAAAACAATTTTACCTCGACCAAGCGAAAAAGCTCAAAGATGCATTCAATAACAAGTATCCTGACTATGTGTATCGCCGAAGACCCAACAACTCACGGCGAAGGCGACGTGCAGATTCAGGATCAGGTTCTTTGCCCGGCGGAGTACGACCACCAGGGTCCGGACCCCTATCTGCATCAGATCACTCAGAACATGAGTTGGAGGCACATGAACGGGAAGAACATGCGTCGTTTGACTCGGGCTCACCCGTTGACTATCGTAGTGGAATGGGGCACTTAGGCTATCAAGATATTGTCGTGCATCCTGCGACCTCGGCTGGACCACCTAGTGGGACGCATCCTGCGCTTTCACTTGGTGGATTACATTCCCTTCCACTTGGTGGTGGTACTGGACCGGGTCAGAGTACTGGAGGTTTAGCGCCTCCAAGTGCGTACGGACGCGCACCCTTTACGCCGCTTTCTACGTCCCCTAGTTCTGGAACTGGGACGAGCGGTGGGAGTGGTCCAGAGCACCAGCCTGTGTCGCCATTATCTCCGTATGCGCGGTACTCACCATATTCCCCCATTACACCCGCAACGAGCGCTGCCTCAGGCTTCACCAGCGGAGCTGGTGCGGGGTCGTACGGTCATTCCGGCTCTGCACACTCGTACTCAGAAGATAACTTTGGGCATACAAGCGCAAATGGAGCGGGAGATGGGTCAGGAACTCACGCACCACCGCGGCTTTCAATGCCCGACTGGCCCTCAGAACCCTCGCACCACTCTGCGCAGCAGCATTCTGCATATCCGCACTCCCCTGCAGATCCATCTCCGCATGCAGGTCTTTGGGGCGGCTCTCGCTCGGGTTCGGGAACGGGCCCTGGAGCTGGAAACGTTGGGTCGTCCTGGTCGCTCTCGGGCTTATCGGCAACAAATCTTCCGCCGCCTTCTGGATCTGCATCCGCGCGTGCGCGACTTGGTTCGGGCGGCGGCGGTGGTCCAGGAGGTGGCCTGGGACTGAACCTCAGTCTCGGGACGTCATCTGCTTCCGTGCTCGGGCAAAGTCAGGGCCAGGGACCCGGCCACGGGCAAAGTCAGAATCAGGCCTCAGGTCGCCCGAAGGAGTACAAGGAGCTGTTCAATGCGCCATCGACATCGGGACAGGGATCGGCGGGAAGAGAGCGCGCGTGGTCGACGACGCCTAGTAATGCGAGCGCTTCGCCTGGGGCGGGTGGTGCACGGGCGCAATTTCCTACATTAACGGAGCCGTTCCACCCGAGTCAGCAACACCAACATAACCGTAGCGCTTCTTCGTCGGGTTCAAGTCCTTCTGTGGGATTTACGCGTTCAGGAGGAGGGAGCGGCGGTGGTACAGGTGACCTTGGGGACATGTACGACAGCTCGCAGAGTCAGCCTCATAGCGCATATCCTATTTCGCCAATTAGCCCGTATCCTCACGGGGGGCATCAAAATAACTCACAAGGCCAGAACCATGGACACAGTCAGGGGAGGCCAACATTACTGCATCCCATTGCTACGTTCGGCGCAGGAGCGGGTAATCTGAGCCCGCGGGATGTGTCACCGTTAAGTGCGGTAAGTCCGCATTCTGCAGTGTCTCAGTCTCATGCAGGCAGTGGAGCGTACTGGGGTGACCGCATGGCAGAGCGATGAAGGGCTCGCAATCGAAAATGAACTGGAGTTGGACTGGAATATCCGGCTCGGACTTAGCGTTTTGTTGTGTCGAATTCGGCAGTTCTCCCCTTGACTTCTCTAATTTTCAATTCTCTTGATCTGTCTCTTCTCTCATGCTTTGTATTCCATTTGCTCTGTGTCGGTACTGATTAGTTCGCCTTTATCGGCCTTCTACACGTATTGTAATTTTAAATCATGTCTATCTGTTCATATACACTTCATTTTATACGTACTTTACTTTTTGTCTCGTCTAGCCTCGTGTCATGTCTCTTCTCCGTTTTTGTTCACCTGAAATTTCCTCTCTTCCGGGGTTCCTGATTTCGAATTTCATCGTCTGTTGTCCCGGTTTATTTGCCTGTCTACTTGTGTCTGATACTTCTAGTCTTATTACCACCTGGCTCACTCTATACCCTGTTCTCAACAGCAGCGTGCCACTTCTACTACGTGCTTGACACCATCCACGATTTATCTTACGTCTCACCCTACTTACTGGCTTTTGATAAAAACGCGTCGAGCTCCCCGTGTTCATTTGTTTGTTTGTCTGTTCGTTCTGTTTCGCTTTCTGCTTCGTTTGAGGAATCCGTTTTTCGTCCTTAAGTGTATGTACGTCAAATTTAATTCAGGGTTTTATTTTCCTCTATTCCCTGTCTTGAGCGAAACATGGTGAAGATTTCTACTTGTATAATACTTGCATTGAGCGCTCTTTTGGATATTGCGGAGTTACGTTCCGACGTGAAGAAAAGAACAAAAAGGAAATTGGAAAAAGAAAAAGATCTGGGCGCTCTTCGTCCTCGAGGACAATAATCTCGTACTCTAATCCGTGTCCTGACCGTTCATCAGACCACCACAAGGCCAACTCCTCCATAAACTCGATTGCTAAGAAAGAGCGGTGCCGAGTAACTCTCCAATGTAAGGGAGAAGGTGGTATAGGGGGGAAGGGAAGCAGTCATGAACGTCGGAGCGGCGAAGTTCTTCTCCCTAGTAGAGTAGAGTCCAGGGTGCTTGCTCAGGTGTCAGAGTCCAAAGGCATTTAGTTCGGTGCGCAGGGGCTAGAGTCCACGGACCACGTATACGAGTCTAGAGTCCTACGCTGGATACAGGATAGTCCCGAGAGAAAGAGTTTGGCGGTGTCTACATACGTGTTATTGTATAGACTCCGCTTGTCCCTCACTCTCAGTCCGCAAACCGGAACCAGCAGTTGGGCGGCAAGACAGAAGGGGAAGAGAAGAGAAGAAAAAATCCCGAGTAGTTAGCTACTTTCGCATATGCAATACTTGCACATCTTAATTCTTAATCTATCCGAAAAGCAGGCAATAACAGAGCTTCTTTCGCTGGAAGTTCTACTATTAGCAGTACAAAGGCTCTGTCTGTACATTCGTCTAACAGAAGAACCACGGCACAAGTCTAATACCGATTGTTCTTGCGTGTCGGTCGTGCATTTCGTGCACCTTGGCGCATGAGAAACGGCAAGGAAGATTCCGGCAGTCGGACATGTCATGAGTACGTTCGTTACTGCGGATACGTACATAGTGCCCAGTCTGCAGGACAGTAAGAGTACGCAGAGGGAACATGTGAACGTGTCTCGGAGCAAAACGTAGCTCGCACCAGTCGGACGATGTGCAGACATATCTCAGATAACTTGTCATTCCGACTGCCTTCTAACTCAGTATTAAATATTGCTTAGTACCATTCCTGCTCGGATTTCGAAAGGTAGGAATTCAAATCGTTCCTGATCGGCTTTAAAGGTGTTATGGATTAACATAAACTATCAATTAAATCAACATTAATGAACTTGTTTTATTATTATTAAATGCTTAGCATAAATAGTTAAATGGTCTTGATCAGGCTTCCCTTCGTTGCTGTATCATGAATCATGAAACAAGCTAGAAATACAGCGACTACTGCTAGCCCTGGATGCTTTGCTCCGCTCTACTCCACAAGAGAGTAGGTGCACAAGAAGAACGTCAGTTTCATGTCAGATCTTGCAGGCAAGACGCCAGGATGGCCGATTTCATCCGCACGGATACGATGGTCGATGGATATCCAATACGGTGGTACTCACACACAAGGTGCGATATACCAGATTTTGGGAACTGTCACTAAATAAAGGCCGATAGGGTAGAACTTCATGAGAGCGAAGATCAGGAGCTTTTCGTTAGCCCTAAAATAGCTCTGTATAGACATTCGGACTCACAGTGCAGATCATGATGATCCTAGACGGTATTTTGGAAATGAACCGCTATTTTAATTATATGAATGGCCAACGACTAAGATGAGTGAAATGAAGATGGCGATGATGAAACATGCTGGGAGGGAACAATGATTAATTATCTTGTTCTGAACGACATCGGTAGACCTTCCATGGATGCTCCGCTCGAAATCCTGCAGTAGCGACATCACTGATCAAAGAACTATTGCATCATTTAACCAGATACAATTCAGATACACGCTCTGGGGTCAGAGGGCAAGATCCCTGTAGGACCAACTTCTCTATACGTATACTAGAAACCAGTGTGTGCCTTGGGCACTGGTTAGTGGTCTTGCCACTCACCTTAGAACTCCCGAAATGGAAACAGTCCGAACGTTCTTGCAGAAGGAATCCCCCCGAGCAGTAATACAGTATACACGATGGAGCCAAACGAAGGCCACCCTGCGAGTCAAACTTGGTGAAGGTCGTTTGGCGACATCTAACACATCTCACGGGCGTGCAAAACTGAGTTCCCTAATACAGTAGTCAAAGTAAGTCCGGTTTTGGGTTTGAATGTCGAACCCAGACTCAAGGATTTAAGCTTACTAGCGTATCTGCCCATATAATCGGGCTTATTCAGAATGATTCGACGGGGAAGCTAGCTGCTGTGAAGATACAGCCCATGCAGCAATCTGGGACACGTTATTTGGAGGTTCTGCTTAACCTTCGAGCCTCTTTGCCATAACGTAATGAAGATGAGGTATAGCATGATCGAGTCCTGCGGGAAGCATATTCACGGTTATTTGATATGATAAATAACGGATGGACGAAGCAAGGACACGTAGAATATGCTGAAAAAAGAGAGCGTCAGTCGAGGATTACGGCCGAAGAAACGCCGAATCGCCTTTGAATCTGGGGTGCAAACTGCCCAAGGCGCCTTTTTTTCAATCCCGCTGTCGCCGCAATGCAGGTAGGAAAAGCAGGACTGATTATGCGGCCCTCGCTAGACTCTTTATTGTCAAAGATGCAAGCGTGATCGGGCCCTGTTGCCTGAAGTTTTCGAAGCCACTTCTGAGAATATATTGTTACGAAATACCGGTAGTATTCCTTATGAGGCAGTCTCGGTGACTCCGACAGAATACCTTTAGGTCACAAAGTTAGTCAGTTGAAAGGATGCAGGTTTGAAGTTCCTCCGACAGAAGTGGTATAAAAATTGTGCCCATATTTGATAACGTCTAACCCACGTTAAATGCAACTGATAATAAGGCTTTACGAACAGACGAGACCCAGCCGTCCACAGTCTATAAACGGAAGATGTAGTATCCAAGTGGCTGGTACATGGCGAAAAGCGACTTCTGTTGCCATACATGCATCAAAGGAACGCCCGGATCGCTCGTCGGAATGTCATCGTAGCCAGATTTTTCACGCGTATTTCCGGACACCACGGCTTAAGATCAATAAGGAGAACAAAGTCTCACGCGCCTCGTCGACTCCAGAGGACCTCACGCCTCGTGACGTCTAAGGAGCATTCCAGGATAAGCTGCGGGAGAATGAACAGATCCTTAACTGACCAAAAACAGGGAGCTGCTGTTCTACACTGTGCTTTCTTCCTGGAATCCAGTCTTTATTTTGGGCTTGGCGAGAAGAACATAGGCTTGGATTGGCTGCTGACGCCACAGTGCTTGCACTTCGACTTCTTCTCTGACTTTCCTACGCCATGCTATGAGCTTGTGGCGCAGTGCTTCGTCCTATATATGGGCTGGAATTAGCGCAATACTCGCACGAATAGATTGCGGCAAAAGCCCAAGTAGCTGGCAAAACGTATAGACGCAATTAGTCGGGAGTTCTCTGAACTGTCGATCAGTTACTCTCGCTGATCTAGAAAACTGAATACCAATTCGAGCCCTGAAGATCGTTCATATGTTAGTAACAAAAGACCCCGCCAGTGGTGAGAAGTAAAGTTAACAAACTCGAAGGCCGGAAGGCAGAGAGAGTGGAAAGGAAATAACGTAGCAATTACGAATACCAGGTTCTGCTGGCACCTGGTCAGGCTACAGACAAATCTAAATACGGCGTCTTTCTAGGCCGGACAGCCTTGACAATTTGAGAAAGATGCAGCCTCGCACTAACAGATATCAGAACTTTACTTAGAGCATATGATCACGAGTCACTCAGTTCTCCGCGTTGACAAAAGGTTTGAGGCTACTAGCGGAGTTTGAGAAGATAGGATGTCCAAAGCACGGGCCATTCTTGTGCGCGCTCACGTCCAGATCTCGGCACGAGATTGGTCAAGTAACACGACGGGAACAAGGCGGTCAGCAGGGAGAAATATACACGATACCCACGGTCAATCGTACGAACCTCGGGCGTAGGGAGACTTTGTGAACCTTTATCGCAGAGAGCAATGTAGTGGACGATCCCGTCAGCGCATTGTGATCAACTCCGATTGTTACACCAAAAGGATGGTTGCTCGTTCATCAACGCTTCGGTCGAGGTACAAGTTAGGCATCATGCGCTTACGTTGAAGCAGTAGCCTCAGAGGTCCCCAGGTCTAAACAGCTTCGACGTCAAAACGGACGAGCAGAAGTAGAACCAAGGAAGTGCTCTACAAAACTCACGGCGGGACCCCGGGTGACATGCACGGTGGAAAGCGAGCAGAGAGGGAAAAGCACCGCCTCGGAACACAGTTGTTACTCCTGGCTAGGTTGACCGGCACAATGGCAGCCTCCTGTGAGAGATGTTAAGACAAGCGAGGAAATGGAGCTGCGTCAGAAGGTATCGTATAGTGATCCTCCTTAATGAAGTAACTGATTAGAAGCCGCGTACTCATTACCATACCATTGTCGACTGCAGAATTTACATCCAAAACCGGCTTCCGAGGGAGACAAAAAGTAGATCCTTCAAAAAGGGTTATCGCAAGCCTAGGCGAGACAAGGCTGGGACATAAACGAGAACACCAGAACACGTCGTACTGGTTGTACTTCTGCAGAAGCTCGAGTTAACGAGATAGTGCAGGCTGGCAGTCAACGTTGCAAACGCGTGCCGCGGTCTAAACCGGTGTTAAATAGATATCTTCTACTCCACGACGACCTAAATTTATCAGGAAGCAGAATGTTGCCTGACATCGGGTTCACCATACGCATGGGGTGAAAGGTTGATATAGTATCAGTTATCGAAGCATCCCGAATTTCTGTTTAGCCCAGGAGATCAGCTCCACCTAATGGCTGTGGTATCATGGACCAGCTACGGTGTGCAGATGAAATACTGTCCATCCAGAACATGTTGCCAGATAGAAGCTTTGCATTACATAATAACATAGGCAAGATCGAATACAGATGCCCAGAGCCTAACTGAGCACAGCTGTGGATTCGTGGAACACAGGCTCTGCGAGCGAAAGAGAAGCATAGTAAGCACATTGATGAGATGACAGGAAAAGGGCCTACGGCGCAGAATGCGAACAATTGCTCACAATGACCTAACAAGAAGCACACGAAAACAGGAAGTCAGTACCGGCATTCCTAGCAGCTCCAAGACCATAGACAAAGTTACAACAGGGCTCAGGAATATTTGCGTTCTTTGCTTACTCCGCGGAGGCCATACTTTCAAAACTCACGGCTGACCGTGGTGGGGTAAACGTTCGCCATTGCTGAGTCGTATGGAAGCACAAGGCAGATTGAGCGGTGAAGAGACTTGAAAAGCCCAAGTAACGACGTTACCAGGAAAAGCAGCCAGTTGCGTTGCGCAAATTTCTCTGGATCGTTTGCAAAGGGCTAACGTGACACAGCAGATGTTAACATTTTTGAGCAACTTCGACAGATATATTTTGCCCAATATCGCTTACTAGGACCAGATGTCAAAATGCATCCTGCCGAAGAAATGGTGAGCACAGATTCTCGGCATAAGCAACACCGTCACAGGGGATTAACACACGACTTTGCACGTCGCGCAAGGCTTTCCGTCATTGGGCCGCCTTTAGCCTTTAAATGGATGCGAGCTACCTTGCCTTGCTTCCAGAACTCAAGCGGATTTCCTTTTTCTCCGTCAAAACCACACTTTCATTCGCACGAATAATGATAGACTTCCAAGGAGCAGGGGCGAAGCAGCGCGTTCCTTTACTTCTTTTTCTTACTCTCCACAAACAACACCCGCGATTTCACTTAGAAGCCATCAGTGCTTCTCAGAAACTGATCCCAGCTAACATAAATATATTAAAATACGTACCCCTTGGATCGTATTTGACCGCTGATAATCTTCCACCTGTCCGGAGACGTGTCGTCGTGTAGAAGTAACCTGTCTGCGCCGTCGAAACTAGTCGCACAATCATCGTCCTGCTTACTACATTCAGAGCTGTTGAAAACGTCTCCTAGAAACATTTTACCTTGCTTTGCTTTTTGCTGCCATTATGGCCGAACACGCGGGTCGATAATGACGGTGGTTCGTTGGTAAAGAGTGACAGAGACAAATGCTGAATCGGGTAGGTGCCGATCGTTATTGCCTTTTATAAGTCTAAGGAAATGCGATTTATCTCTCGAAACTTACGTCTTGAATTGTCTCCTGTTCCTGCATGTCAAGTTTCGGACCAGGCTCACATGATACTAGTTCATATGCATTATTCAGACAGACGAAGTCAGGAGATGCCCCGGTCTGTGCAATCTACCAAATGTAAGATGGAAATGCAATATTAATTTCTGCAGCAACAGATATGAAATTTTGAAAAGGAACCAATGCAAACTAAATCTATTGTCTCGGTACCATTGGATTTGTGTATGTCGTTGAAATCACTTTAGATGACGAGCATTAATTCTACGTTCATGAACCTACACTCGGGGAAGAATCACTTAATTGCCTGCCACACTAATCAGCAAAGTTGTGATACACTGATCAAGTGAGTGATGTACAGTCAAATATGTCATAATTCATGATGTGGCAACGAATTAATCTAATAATGCATTGCTTTCTTGAAACAAAGTGATCAAAATAGATGTCATAGTGCATAAGCCTCATAATGAGTTGATAAATGACTGTTCCTAGCATTATGCATAGTGACATACTCTACTCTACTTTGTAGGACTAGTCATAACCAAACAAACGCAGCGTGAATTGAAAATTCCACGAGGGGGGCCAACAAGTTCACCCTCAAAGTATACTAACTCCGAGTACCTCTCACCAGGTTGCAATCGTGTTCAACTGTATTGTACATTCCAAAGTCTACATTAAGGACATCCATCATGCATCGGAAGGTGAGAGGGTCGGATGAGATGGAGCAGCCTCTCATACCACAGTATCAATCACCAAGGAACTCGCATAAAAGAGTCTTTCGGCACTCCCATACAGATACACAGAATGGACAGATGTCCAGAGAGGAAAAGGAGCTTGAACACTTCCAAGCTTCATACAGAAAGCTACAAGCCGAAATAGATAAAATCTTATCCCAACTAAGTTCGGTTTACAAAACAATTAAGGCACCACTTTTCAAGGCCCATCAATGTCTTCCTTCGACATACGATGTTTGGGTGTACACGGAAGCCTGTAATAGAGTGAAAATAAAGGAGGCAGAGCATAAGAATAGGGTACCGAAAGAAGAACGTACACAATATAATCCCCTTTTCAATGACGGACCTAGTACACTGGAAGAGTATCAAGATTTCCGGGATACACAAAAAGAAGACTTACAAGGGAAAATATCCAAGTTTGAAGATATGTTTAAATTGAAGGACATCTTGGCTCATAGTAACAGTGAAAACCGCCAGAGCAGCCAGAGTCATCAGAATAGTTTGGAAGATCCTCGAATTATAAGTTGTTTTCACCACATCCTACAGTTCTGGAATGACCAAGACTATGAAAGGCTCATAGTCTCACTGGACGCTCTAGACAAGGCTGTATCACACATGCGAGAAATTGCAAACGATCTTGCATTTTGGAATGGCAATGAGGATGAAGTAGCTGCCCTTACTGATCAATACGGCAAGGTTAAGCAGGGCTTATCGGAGGAGAACGAAGACAATCTGCAAGCTTGGAGGGAAGCAGAGTGTAAATTGAAAAGTATAAAGGAAAGGGCAGATAAAGCAAAACAAGGGAAGGACACTCACTTTAAGTTGCACTTCAAAGAAATAGACTTGCAGCTGAGAATACCTGCACAGTTAGAGAAAGAAAGGCAGCAGGTGTCAAAAAGACATAGTAATAGAAGCTGCTTGAAGGTTTGGAAAAAATCTCACAAGTCTAGAACAGACACAGCTGAGTAAGTTTGATAAGAAAGCCTAAGAATCAAATAATTTTATATAACTCTATCACATGCCATTTTGTTCCTGGTGACATAGTATTATATAAGTTTGATGTACATAGAGAATATATATATATATATAAAGAACATATAAGAACATATTCTCCTAGTATCTTCCTCAGTATTTGCATGCCTTTATTTAATATGTATAATTGTAGATATTAGGCTCTGCCAGATTCTAGTACATGTCATAAACTAGACACATTATTAGAGCCATCAGAATATCTGTCTATGTGATTTAGATTAATCATCTTAAGTCTATCCATTTGTATATATTACTATAAGCTTATTGGATAAAAAGTTGGAATAGTACTAGTAAAGTGCTGAACACTGAGCTCAAAGATTGCAGAACACACAAAGACTGACAGGACAAAGGTATCTTTGTTGTAGTCAGTAAACAAAAACTTGTTATACATAATAAGACACACCTTTGTTACAGTCAGTAAACAAGAACTAGTGTAACAAAGGTGTAGACATAAGCTTTATATACTATAGAAGAAAGGAAAGTGGCTCAGGCTAAAGGAATGTATGATATGAGTGAAGAAGGAGACTATATGTGTGGCTCAGGATCAGGAACTGTATGTGTGGCCTGAGACTGTACAAGAGAGTTCCAGAACAGAACTCTCTAAACCCTTAGAACTGTAGTAAGTTGTACAGTAGGCTTACAAAAGTACTATAATTACAGACTAACACTTATGGAAGAATCACTCAGTTGGTTACTATACTAATTAGCAAACTTGGTATTCACTGAATATGTTAGTAATATAGGTTACTAACAGGCTTAAGTACTTTACAGGATTAATTATAAATACATAAACACAACAAAAAAAACTTTAAGCAAGTGAATAGTAATTGTACTCAAAGTATACCAAGCTTGAATACCTCTTACTAGGCTGTAGTTACTGCTCAAATAGCTCATATATTCTAAAGTCAATATTAAAGTTATCTACTATACACTAGAAGGCTAAAGAATCAGATAAGATAAAAGAGTCTCTAATACTACAATGTAGACTGTCAAGCTACTAACATAAAAGAGGTTCCTGGAACTCTAGTACAGATACAACAAATGGAGGTAAATCTAGAGAAGAAGAGGAACTTGAGTACTGTCAGGCTTTATACAGAAAGTTTCAGACTGAAATAGATAAAATCCTGCCTCAGCTAAATTCTGTTTACAAAACAACTATAATACTACTCTTCAAGACCATTTAATGTCTTTAAGAAGGTCCTAATGTGTATGTATACAAGGAAGCTTGTATAAGAGTGTGAACAAAGGAGAAGGAGAGAATGAATAATGTGTCAAAATAGGAATACATTCAATTTGACCCTCTTTTCAATTACAGTCCCAATTTACTAGAAGACTACCAAAAGTTCTGAGATGATAATAAAAAGGAGTTGTAAAGGAAAATGTCAAAATTCAGAAACATGTTCAATTTGGAGGATGGCTTAGCTTGTAACAATAGTAAAAACTGTCAGAGTAGTTAGAGTCATTAGTATAGTATAGAGGATCTTTGAATTGTAAACTGTTTCTAGCACATTCTACAGTTTTGGAATGAGTAAGACTATGAAAGCTTTATACTCTTAATAAATGCTTTCAGAAGAGCTGTATCATACATGTAAGGAATTGTAATGGATCTTGTATTTTGGAACAATAATAAAGTTAAAGTAGCTACTCTTACTGATTAATTTGACAAAGTCAAGCAGAGGCTAATAGAAGAGAATGAAAACAGTCTGTAAGCTTGGAGGGAAAAAGGGTATAAACTGAAGAACATAAAGGTCAATACAGATAAGTTAATACAAGAGAAGGACATACACTTTAAGCTCCATTTAGATGAAATAGGCTTGTAGTTAATAAGACCTGCACAGTTAGAGAAGGAAAAGTAGTGATTTTCAAAGGCACAATCAAAGGATGAAAGACAATCAGTTTCAAAATCATATAATAGTATAAGTAAATTGATGGTCTGGAAAAGGTCTCACAGGTCTAGAACAGACACAACCAAATAAGTTTGAAGGGAAGAATAGTAAGAACTGTGTCAGGAAAAAGTCTTTATTATTATATACTCTTATATGCATATATAATATGTAAAAAAACAATATTATCCATAATGACATTTATTGCACCCCTCATTAGATAAGATATATAAAAGATACTATAAGGTTGTAATAAGACAGATTTATGTTATGAGAATTAATAAACATTACATGTCCTTACAATGGGGATATAAGAATTATAGCTCTTAGGAAAGTCTATAATGGTATATATTGCACCCCTCTTCTGATATGGCATAATACTTCTTCTGCTATCTTATAATCCTTAAATAAGTTAATTTACAGCTTATATCTTACCTGAATGGCTTATTATACAATATATATTTTATTTAAATATTTTATTCTTTACTAACAATGCCGAACAGTACATAATATTAACACATTATAACAGAAACAAAACTATCACTACCTTAGCAAATCACAACAACCAATAGACGTACCATGGGTATTCATCTCCTCGTGCTCTTTCTTCCTCTGCTTCGCGAGTTCGCCCCAGTATTTACGTTCCTCTACAAACAGCGAACGCTATTGGTATGAGATTGTTTTG